GCCGAAGACCTTGACGAGCAAGGCAATCCGCGAGACAAGGCATCAATACGGTTGCTATTGCAACGCCTTATGGTACGCGACCTCACCGAGGCAATTGAACAGGACCGTGACCCATTCGCGAGCGGTAGAGACGGTCGCGATTGCCTTGAAATGATTCATGCCACATGGGAATCACACCGTCAGGAGGCTCGGGTCCCCATGCCGCTTATGCCACGCGAACACCCACTCGAACGGTGGCAGAGAGAAGCACGTATTTGAAAATAGGAGACATTTATGCAACGTTTGGATATTCTTCATCCCTCAATTGATGACTACTTACTCGACATCATTCCTGAACGCGATGAAGTCCTAACGGAAATGGAGGCACATGCGCGAGCGAACCGTTTTCCAATTGTGGGACCGCTCGTTGGGCGCGTCTTGCACCAATTGGTGTTGCTGACCAATCCGACGCGGATTTTTGAGATGGGGTCAGGCTTCGGATATTCGGCGTATTGGATGGCGAAGGCACTACAAAAACCGGAAGCATCTATCATCTGTACAGATGGTTCGCAGGAGAACGCCGATCGCGCAGCGGGTTATCTTGCACGCGGTGGTATCGCAGATCGCATCGACTATCGCGTCGGTAACGCACTCGAAATCATAGACGAAACCGAAGGCGAGTTTGACATTATCTACAACGACATTGACAAAGACGGATATCCCGAAGCCTTCCGCAAGGCGATCCCACGGCTCAGAAGCGGTGGGTTGTTTATCACAGACAACATGATCTGGGGTGGGCGCGTCGTCACACAGGAACCCGGTAGTCCTCCAGAAGGACTTGATGAACGGGAGCAGTGGTTCCATGCGGCAACGATCGGGGTCAAAGAAGTAACGCGGCTACTTTACAGTTCGCCTGATGTTTTCACGACGATTATTCCGCTCCGAGATGGTGTCTCGGTTGCGGTGAAACGTTAATTCACCGCTTCGTTAGTGTGGTTTTCAGTTGCGCCATTTTGGATCAAGTTATGTCAGCGATTCTTACTGACTGCTGATTTAATTGAATGATTCTGGATAAGCCTTAAAAAACTTGACTTTTATTTCCACTTCCTGTAAATTCTATTTAGAAACCATCCGTTAATTGGGAATCTAAGCGCCCATAACCACAAGCGATGGAATTACCGCGTCCATTGGTCTTACCGATGTACCTATTGCTTGGGAACCTACACCCTAAGCATACTTCTACAAGAAAACAAGCGCATCTTTGCTTTCTACAGCGAAGCGTATCAATAGGAGATTCACAATGTTTTTGCCAAAAAAATCGTTCTCTGTAACAGTCAACCTACTCGTTATTGCCTGCTGCGTTTTATTCACACTATCCACACTGTCAGTGATGGCACATTCAGGCGGCGAGGTAACATCTAAAAAAACCGCAACGCCTATCACGATTGATGGAATGTTGGATGAGGCGGAGTGGGACGCAACATTTCAAGAATCTTCACCCTTGCAAGATATTGTCCCAGATCCACGCGATCCTGAACACCTCCAAGATTGGTATCAAATTATTCCCGGCGGCGGTGCAGGTAGCGACACAAACGATGGTGGACTCCGTGTCAGTCGTGGCAAATTCGATGGCGACGATGATTTGCGGGCGCGCTGGGCAACGCTATGGGACGACGACTATCTCTACTTTGCGTTCGATGTCACCGATGATACCACACACCCGTACATCAACGACATAGCAACCCGTGCTGGAGAGATTGACGGGATATTTTTGATGTTCGACACCAAACACGATGCACCTGTATTCGAGTTTCCGCGCCATGAGTTTGATACGAAACATGTCGCCAATAACAGCGTATATGAGGCGGACGACAATTATTGGATCTTTGGTCCCTTAACAACCGAAGATAGAAGTGGTGCGTGGACACAAGCGTTGGGTGCTGCTCTTGATCCGGAGTTAGGCGACCCCGCCAACGGGACACGTCGTGAGTCAGAAAACAAATAGCGGTTATTCTACTGAGATGCGTCTGCCATGGTCAATTTTTGAACCGTTTTTTGGCGAAGCTCTCACACCGACAGACGGCTTACTCATCGGATTCGACATCACAATCACAGACATCGACGGCGATGCTCCCGGCTCTTACGCCGCACCTTTTGGTGGCGCAGTCGCTTGGTCGAGTGATTTTGAGAACGACAACAGTCCCGGTGTGTTTGGCGACCTCTTCATCTCCAGTGAAATGGTCAGCAGCACAACATCTGTCGATCCTGCAGGCAAATTGTCAACAACATGGGGCAAGATCAAACGCGACTATAAATAGTCCCAAATTAATCGCGATGCCTTTTATCAATCTTCCCGCCAAGACCCCATGCTTCAGCTTGCGGGATGTAGGCCGACATAAGGTTTTATAGTCGAAAAGGTAGTATAGTGAGAGTATCAGGTTGGCAGACATACACTGCGTTACTGCCCCTTCCCAGTAACGGGTGAGGGGGCGGTAACGTGTCTGCCTCCCACAGTGTAGGGGATAAACGCCTGATACCTGATATACCATGCGAACGGATAAATTCAAACTCCAAGACCATAAACGCGTCCGTCACTTGCAGTCCGACACGCGTATCATCAGTCAAGTGCATAACTACCAGTGTGTTGAAAAAATAGACTGAGCGTCCGTGCGGAACAATCGGGTTATTTGGGTGCGGGTTGATGTGCTTGCATCTGATGATCGATTCTCGGCTTTTTTATTTTCCAACCGCCGCGTCTGTACCAGTACCCGATAAGGAGACACTGCACAACGTTTGATACAGCAATTCCCCACCAAATCCCTGTCAGTCCTACCAACTGGGAAAGCACAATCACCAACGTCAATCCGACTCCGAACTGCGACAGCCCTGTAATTGTCATCGGGGATACCGTATCTCCCGCACCGTTGAGCGCACGCCCCAGAACACTGGCGACAACCATAAACGCAAGCGTCGCTGCGAGATAACGCAAATAAACACTGCCAATCTCCGTGACTTTGGGTTCGTTCGTAAACCAGCCGACGAAGAACTGAGGAATAGTAAACAGGAAAATGCCGATGAACGTGACGACCACCGCCGCTAAGATGCTACCTAACTGGGTGGATTTTTCGGCGCGATCAATACGGTTGGCACCAATATTCTGTCCAACCATCGGTGCTACAGCGTTCGAGAAGGCAGTACCAAAATGCATAACCAGACTCCGCAACCGCATGCAGATGGCATAGCCAGCGACGGGATCGGTGCCAAAGATAGCGACGACTCGTATAAACAACACACGAGAGCCGTGCCGCAACAACGCCTGCATGGCACTAAAAACGCCTAAACGCATGATTTGAGCCCACGCTAAAAGGTTCGGACGACGTTCAACATGCCGCAAAGAAATCACGCCGCGTCCTTTAAAACAGAGGTAAAGGAGTATGACAACCCCGAGGCTTCGACCAATCACCGTCGCATACGCTGAGCCAACCACTCCGAGTCGCGGAAACCTCCAGATCCCAAAGATTAACAGCGGATCTAAAACGATGTTAACAACCGACGAAAAGATCAGGACGATCATCGGTGTCACCGCATCTCCGGCACCACGAAAAATTGCGGTGAGGGTGCGTGATAGAAACATCGTCACCGCTCCAAGCAGCATCACGCGAAGGTAGGGAGCACCGAGCAGAATCACCTCTGGCTCGACACCCATTATCCATAATCCAAATTCAGCCAACGGATAGCCCAAACACCCGATGCTCAGGGCACATACCACATTAAGCATCAAGGCTTGCATCGCAATGTTCTCGCTTTGCACACGCTTCTGGGCACCGAGAAGCTGAGACACGAGAATAATTGTCCCGGTTGAGATCCCATGTGCCAGAATGCTTACGAGTCGTAGTAGATTCCCACTCATGGCGACAGCGACGATGGCTGCCGGTCCCAATCGACCAACGAAAATCATATCGACGACATTAAACAGGTCTTGAAGTAGCTGACTGACAAACGTGGGTATAGCCAATCGTAAAAGGGCTTTTGAAATGCTCCCGCGCGTTAGGTCATGCTTGGACGTTCTCATACACTCCCACTGATTGGCACTCACCAGGGCCTGTTCTTACGGTTTTATGGCTTCAAATGTTGTTCAAGGAATACCTTCGTCAATTCTGGCACCTTCGGATCTTTAAACCAGCCGTGACCGCCTCCTTCCACCTTATAAAACGTAACAGGTACCCCCGCTTTTTTCAGTGCGTCATTCAACAAGACGCTCTGCTGATAAGGCACAAGCGGATCCTTGTTTCCATGAACGATCAGAAAAGGCGGAGCACCTTTGGCATGTAATGTGTCTTGTCTCCACCGCGCCAAGCACCGCCATGTATCCAGATGATGAGTGGTAGGTTTTCTCCTGTCTCCGGAACATACAAGTCGAGTTTTTGTCGTTCGTGTCCATCTGTAACATAAGCCAAATCCCGATACACTGTTACACCTTCGGGGACGTTCATAGCCTCAGCGGCACCTTGACGTTGCGCCAGTACCGAAATCGCGGCTACAAAAAACAGAATTAAGATAAGTATGACTATGATCTGCATCATTGACTTTCGCATTGACTTTCTCCTCCGTTAACAGGGATTTCATCTGACTTTTGTCCCACCAATTCAGAGGACTTTGCGTCTTCGGCAATCATCACCTCAAGCTCCGTTCTCAAGTTCTGGATTTGAGAAATCTTTTCCGCCATCTTATCAAACATCTGCTGCTTGGACTTGATGCCTTCACCGATGAGGAACGCAGTCGCTTCGGAACGACTGTTAAATTGTCCGGAATCTACGAGCTCTTCGATCCGATTGAGATCTCCCTCATCAACCCGGACCATCACGACATTATCCCTTTTGCGTTCGCCTCCCCCGTGTCTCTGTTTCCTTTGTCTTTTACGGTGACCTCTTCCTTGCTGTCCCGCATCAAATTTTGACATTGTTAAATCTCCTAAACCTTAATCGCTTCCTTCATGAATATGCTCTTCCTTTAGACTCAGATTACCACGCGCGAATTTTTGACAATTCAGTCTGCTTCTCACACAAACTGGCATAGGTCCCGTCTTGGGCAATCAGTTCCGCATGCGTCCCAATTTCGTCAACCTCGCCATCTTTCAGCACAATAAGTCGGTCGGAGTACTTAAGGGTTGACAACCTGTGAGCAATAGCGAATACCGTTCTCCCTTGGATGAGTCGTTCCAATGCCTCTTGGATCTTCGACTCTGTTTCGGTATCAACGGAGGAAGTCGCTTCATCCAAGATAAGGATGCGCGGATTTTTTAAAATTGCGCGTGCGATAGAAATACGCTGCCGCTCACCACCAGAAACCCGTGCCCCTCTTTCACCTACCATTGTGTCGTAACCATCGGGGAACTTGAGGATAAAACCGTGGGCATTTGCTGCCTTCGCAGCAGCAATGATCTCCATCCGAGATGCCCCCGGTTTTGAGTAACCGATATTCTCCGCTACTGTGCCTTGGAACAGGAATGGCTCTTGTAATACGACGCCGACCTGTTGCCGTAACGCCTTAACCTCAATGTCGCGACTGTCGTAACCATCAATCATTATTTCCCCATCATTCGGGTCATAGAAACGGGTAATCAGATTGATGAGCGTGCTCTTCCCTGCACCGCTGTGCCCAACCAACCCTATCATCTCACCGGGCTCCACTGTAAAATTGACACCATTGAGCGCATTTTTTTCGCCGTCGTAAGAGAAATAGACATTCCTAAATTCAACAGCACCACGGATATTTCTAAGGGCTACCGCATCGCTTTTATCAGCAATGCTCGGGGGTGTATCCATAATTTCAAACACACGCTCGGCGGAGGTGCCTGCTCGGATAAACCTTTCGTTCATCTGACAGAGGGTAAACACAGGTCTAAAAAACTGCATCATATAACTTTGGAACATGAATAGCGTGCCAAGGGTTATCTCGTTTTGGAAGATCTGCCATCCCCCGATTAACCAAATCAAAATAGAACCGGAATAGGTAATAAACTCCATAATCGGGCGATAAAGCGTCCCAAGTTTTGCAGCGTTCATCTCACCTGTAAATACCTGATGTGTCATATCGCTAAACCGGTTTATCTCGTAGCGTTCGCGGGCGAATGCTTTGACAACGCGGACCCCTGGAATCGTGCTCGCGAGAATTGTGCTAATGTTCGCATACCGTTTCCATAAAACATGGTACACCTTGCTCATCTTTTTTCCAAAAAAGACTGTGAAGAAGATAAGGCACGGGATAGGTATCAAGGTCCAGAGTGCAAGTTTCCAATTGAAATAAAACATGATCCCGCATATATAGATGATCGTGAGAGAATCACCCGCAATTTCTTGTATCCCACTCGCGATGAAATCCCGGAGCCGTGATACATCGTGCGTGATCCTCGACATCAAGTTTCCGGTATCTCGTTCCTGAAAAAAATCAACGGAGAGCATGTTTAGATGTTCATAGGTCTCGTTCTGGAGCCGTCTCGTGACATTTTGACCTACCCACGCCATCATATATCCCCGTATAGCCGAGGCTAACATCGAAAACACGCGAACACTCGCCATGAGGAAAACGATCCCTATCAGGTGCCCGAAACTCCCACCGACTGGCATGCTGTCGAACCACCCGCTTAGAAAATTCACCGCGCCTTGAAGGTGTCCCCAATCTGTTTCCGGAATTGGCAATCCTGTAGTGACAGTATAGCCGACCGGTGTCAGAATCCTGTCAATCAGATCCCTGCTGAGTATCTGCGGGTAGAGCCCGACAAGACGGATTACCATCATTATGAGGAACGCCGGGACGATGATATGCAAGAACGGAACGGCGTACTTCATGAGTCGAAAGATGAGTTTCCCCTCTGCATGCAATTGATACAGACATCTGACCGACGCGGGATAAGCTGACCGCACTTCTTACAGCGTCCCTTATCCTCTCCAAAGGACATTCCATGCCTACCGCGTCCACGTCTACCGTCTGAATTCGCTTCCGTTTGTGGAACTAATCCTTCCAACTCTGAGACAGCACGACTGAATTTCGGGGTTAACCGTTTTGAGTAGCGCGATAGTTCAAAAGCGTTGTCCGTAGTACTCACTTTGAGAATGTTATTCCCGTACATCTCCAGGATTTCGAAATCTTCGACGGATGAGAGCGGCACCTCGCGCATGTGGTGCCCGAGAACACCATTCTGATTGAAAGCGATGAGCCGTTTATTCGTAATTAACAGCCAATCCTTGCCATAGGTCCCATCAAAACGCAGATCCGTCGAAACAGAAACCTTGATCTCTTCGCCCGTTTCAAGTAGTGCTTCTGCCTGCTCTTTCAGGAGTTCAGGTACATCTTCCGTTGTTGACAGGGGTTCATGGTCTAGCTTCGGGAAGCGTGGCTTTCCCTGATAAGAACTCATCCTCCGCCGGGATGACCTTCCGCTGTCGAAACCTCGCATCGATCCGCGCATAAATCAATCCTCCACAGATTAAACGTGTAGTTTCTAAATACTTACTAAACTTTGGTATAACTTAATTACATGTAATCATTACACAATCTTACACGATAGATTGTCAAATTAAATTTTCATTTCTGGATTATCAGTCCTTTGTTCTCACAGAAAAACCGTGTGCAGGGTACCCGATCTGGAGCCGTGACGAGAAAAAATAGAACTGAAGCCGGAGAAACTGCCAGCTGGATCGTCAATTTTCGCATCAACTGCCTCCGGCGTTATCTGGTTCCGGAGCAACGGTTTCGGACGGTTTTGTGTCTTCGGCAATCATCGCCCCAAGCTCCGTTCTCAAGTTCTGGATTTGAGAAATTTTTTCCGCCATCTTCTCGAACATCTGTTGTTTGGCTTTGATGCCTTCACTGATGAGGAACGCTGTCGCTTCGGAACGACTATTAAATTGTCCGGAATCCACGAGCTCGTCGATCCGATTGAGATCTCCCTCATTAACCCTGACCATCACGACATTATCCCTTCTGTGCTCTCCTCTCCGGTGTCTCTCACGGTGCTTTTTTCTTCCGTGTTTCCCATCGAATTCTGACATTGTGAATCTCCTTTATTTTATTTAGTGATTAATATAGATAATTTGATTACACGTAATTATCATACATTATTATATCCTATATTGTCAAATTAAATTTTGATTTGTGAATTATCAATTCTTTGTTCCCTTAACGTGAGTTTGATAATAAAAATGGACAAGTGGTCGTAGGTTGGGTAGGGCGGTAAAAACCAAGACTCCGCCGATCTATAGGGCAAGTGCCGATTTTCGATCACCCATTTGTATAGATAGGTATAGTGAAACCCAACAGCCCAAATGCTGTTGGCATGAGAATGCGTTGGGTTTCACTCGTGTTTTGGTAATTTTAGGTTTCAGGACGCTTGGAAGTCATTTCTTTGTGATGTTTTTGCAAAATCCGTTCAACCCAACCTACGCGTTTATGTCGAACCCACGTTAGAATATACAATTACTTGGACAATGTAGTGGGGTTACATGAAGATTAGAAGATTGACATCGGTTGAAATTTGGGGTATAATAGTTTGTGTAAGTTAGCCAACCAAAGCAGAATATCGGAATAAGGAGATCCCTCCAGATGGCTTCAATGAAGTGTGGTAGGTGTGGCTCCGAGAAAATCATGACCAGCTTACGGATTCGGGACCGCTACGATGCAGGGGTAGGACAAGACTTAGAGGTCGAAGTACAGGGTAACCCGGATGCCTTGATTTTCAAGCAGGCTCACAGAGAAGTGTTGAGAGCAACCGTCTGCGGAGAATGTGGCAACGTTGGTCTCTCTGTCGAGAACCCAGAAGCATTATGGAAAATTTATAGCCAACAAAAAAATTCGTAGAATGGGTTTCTACGCCGGTTTGACAATTGATGTTCCAGCTCACCTAAATACTACATCTATCAATAACCGTCTACATATTTAGGGGGAGCGATGGAATCAACCGAATCACATTTCAAACGGTTTATCTTTATTTTAATCGATGGGGCACCCTATGAAATTTTCAAAGCGTTGATTGAAAACGGGGACCTCCCGAACATTAAGAAACATGTGGTAGATCGCGGCAGCTTGAATAAAGCGGTCTCCGTCTTCCCGTCAACAACGGGACCCGCCTTTATCCCATTCTTTATGGGATTATATCCCGGCACTGCGAATATACCCGGCATTCGGTGGATGTCCAAATCGAACTTCCACACCCCACACCGTTTCAAACGTCCCGGCATCTGCAGTTATATGGGACTTGACGGGTTGCGTTTTGAAGCCGATTTACCCCCAGGCTTCCCGACCCTGTTTAACTTCTTTTCACCCGTCAGTAATATCTATAACCCACTTGCCCGCGGGTGTCCTTCTGCTAAAAACCTGACGGGCTGGATTAAACCGCTCGTCTATACCTATGCACATTTTTCGCATCGATGGCGATTCGTCAATCAGATTGCAGCGCGTCATCTACACAAAGCCGTCGAAGCGGGCGACAAATTCGTGATGTGCCTCTTCCCTGCAGTCGATACCTTTTCACACCTCACAGAAATACAATCCCCGCAAGTGCTTCAGACTTACCGAGAGATAGACACCGCGATTGGAAACCTTGTTCATACTTTGCAAAAGGCGAATACCCTCCAAGAGACCCTCATCCTAATTACCAGCGACCATGGGATGACCGATACACATACACATATTGATGTCCCACAGCATTTAGACGATGGAGGTTGGCGGTGTTTGCACTATCCAAAAATTTGGCGGCAGAGAGCCGTATCTGCCAGCATGGTATCAGGAAATGGGATGACACATCTCTATTTTAAAAACAATTCGGGTGGAAAGGGATGGGGCGAACGGACACCTTTCGAGAATCTCCACAAAATGGGGGTTATCAGTTCCCTAATTGAACTGGAAGGATTAGGATTCGTCGCAGGGCAGAGCGAAACCGGGGACATCATCGTCCAAAACCGAGGCGGACAGGGAAGAATCTTCTGTCACTCACTGGATACAGACCACGAAAACTCACAACGTGAACATACTACTTCTAAATACGCAGACTCGCTGCGCTTCTCCTATCAGTTCACTGGAGCAGATCCACTCGGGTACGGGGTCTACTACAAAAATTTATCCTCACGGGAAACGCTACGTGAAACCTACAACACGCCGTATCCAGATGGAATCGTCCAATTGTGGCAGATTTTCAACAGTGAACGGACGGGCGACCTTATTCTCAGTGCCGAGAACGGTTACGATTTACGTGCCCGTTATGAAGTCCCTGAACATCGGGCGACTCATGGTGCCTTAATCGCGGAGCATCTGCACATCCCACTTGCGACGAATTATCCAATTGCAGAACAGTACATCCGATCCGTTGATGTCTTTCCAACGGTGCTAAACCTCTGCGGACACAACGTTGCGGTGCATCACATTGATGGTAGAATCGTCCAGTAAACCGAGATCGTCCCACTACACAGACCTCCAAATAGCGTCCTTTTCTGTAGGAGCGAGTTGTGCTCGCGATTTCATTTCCTGCTTTCGCGGGTGAAGGTCCTTTAGACACATATTTTTCTCCAAATTCATTTCTTTCCAGAATTATGCACCTATTCCCCTTAATTCGCGTCATTATATAGTAGACATTATAATGATTTAATCAAAATGTGTATGATAAGACCAAGGTCTGAAGTTTAGACGAAAGTTGTGTAACCCACAGCAAGTCTCCATGACCAAATCGCTGAACCCTTTTTTGGAGTTACGGAGCTTATCTTTGACGATGCGGTATCTTTTGATACCCGCAATGGCATGTTCAACTCGTATACGTATAGACGAAATGGCGCGATTGTTTTCTTTTTCTTCAACCGTCAGGTCTCGCCCTTTGGGTTTCTTTTTCGGTTGAATGATATTGACCCCCGCAACCGAGAAACCTTGAAAACCTGAATCTTGATACAAATAACTACCACATGGCAGGAAATAGTCCGTCCTATCAGCGATACGCTTGTCGTGTATTCTCCCTTCGTAGGAGGGGGTCAACAACATAACTTTGCTATCAGCAGTGATGAGCAAGTTATTCTTGACGGTGTGTTGCTTCTTTTTACCACTGTAATGTGCCTGCTGTACATCTGGGTCTTTTGGACGTTGAATCGGACGTTCGGTGGCATCATGAAAAAAAGTGATTTGAAACCGGAGTCTCCCTCGGCGGTTCTGTAGACTCACCGACACTTGGAGGGCGTATTTCCCGCAATGGCAACTCACCCAGGTCTGCCAAAGCACGATTGACGATGGGCAAAAGCCGGTGAATCCACTTGTTGGCAACAGGTTGAGACGTGCCGAAGAGTTCAGCAAGGACGTCTTGGGTCATTGCCTTTCGGAGATACATCAAAATAAAGAGCAACTTATCTTCAAAGTTTGGCAAGCAACTATTTTTATAGTGAGTATACCGTCGTTTTTTTCGGGGTTGGTTTCCCTCAAGCGTCTTTGTTTCGACGGATGCCAAAAATCGCTTGGAGAAATACGGCAGAAGTGCCGAGAACTCCTCAAGCGTATATCCTGTCAGCGACAGCAAGCGTTTGGGTTTAGTCTTCAGAGTTTCATAACGGGTCATCAGTTAGTCTCCACTATGATATTTCTTCTGATTTTATCATAGACTAACTACAACTTACAAGTAAATCGTTATAATGTCTATACATAATTATAGCCTGATATGAAAAAAAGTCAATCCTACAAATATGCTATTCCTGCGGGAGCAAAGACAATGTAGAAAAGCGTTTCTACGCACATTTCGCTCCTCCGGGACTAAGATGAGCTACACACATAAAACCTCTTCCAATCCGCGAAATCCGTGTCATCCGTGATAATCCGCGATTCAGAAATAATCGACGATCCGGTGCGGTTACAAGCCGCACCTACCGTGTTAAGGGAAGTGGGCAGAACATTATGTCCAACCTCAATCCAACGGAAAGAGCGGTCGCCGGACATCGTGATATTCAAAATGCAGTGGGTTCACCGCAGTCAATCCGGGTGTGTCCACCTCGATAATCTGTCCTGCGATGGGTTCGTAGGCGGCGCGGTAGGCGACAGCGGCTTTGACGACGATCATCCGCATCTCCGTCGGATCGATACCGAGGCTCAACAGTTGCTGGAGACTAAACGGTGTTTGTCGCCGACTCGTCAGCGCGACCAAAGAATCCCCTACTGCAACCACAGCCGTCAAGCCTTGATTGTGGTATCTCTGTCCGCCGTGCCGAGGTTGCGTTTCTATGTACTGACCGTCGTGGATGAGCCGGACATTGCCGCGAATCGGGACGGGGTCGCCGTGTTGGTTGTCCGCTTTCCCGCCGACTTCAAGGGAAACCATCCCCCCGACACCCGCCTGAATGCAACTTTGGACAGCCTCTGGATCATAGACGACAACGGCAAATCCGGATGCTCCCTGCCGCACTAACTCCGCTAAAATGAAGGTGCTATCTCCGGGTGAACCACCGCCGATATTATCCCCCATTTCAACAAGAATAACCGGATGTTGTTCAGAGTGGATGGCTTGTTCGACTGCCTGCGCCGCATCGGGTAGATCAAGCGTGAGTTGTCCGCGGACACTCCATAACATATCGGATAACCGATCGGCTTCTGTCTGAGCGAGTTGTGGGTCGTTATCAGTGACAACGACGAAGGCGGGACCGGCTTCATAGACATCGGCATACGGATAGCCGACCGCGACGTTCGCGGCGAGGACATTGGGATCTTCTTCTAACTGCTTCGCGGCTGTGAGAATAGGCTCCATCGGCGGTACGCTGGTGACATGATACAAGATATTGAGGAGCATCGGTGGTTTAGCGAGTGCTTGCGTGGGTGTAACCTCTCCTCGGAGTATCCGCATCATCAATTCTGCTGCCTGTAGTCCGCGTTGGCGTTGATCGATGTGCGGCGTTGTCTTGTAAATCACGAGTGCCGTCGATTCGGCGACCATCTGCTCGGAGACGTTGGTGTGCTGGTCAAGCGTGACAACAATCGGGAAGTCACGACCGAATGCATCGCGAAGCCGTTGTAAGACCTCGCCATCACCATCGGGATAACTCTCTACGACCATCGCGCCGTGCAGTGCGAGGAGGAGTCCTTCATGTTTCGGTGCGGATTTGAGGTGCTGGATTAACATCTCGGTGAGTCGGTCAAACACATCGTCCGTCACGCGTCCTGCTGGCATTGCAGCAGCCATGAGCGTCGGATAAATCGTATAATCGTACTGTGTCGCGCCTTGAATAAATCCACTTATTTCGTGATGTGCTTCTCCCCAGACCTTTATCATATTACTGGCATGGGTTTGCGAGAACGCCGCGGCATCGGTGGGGGTATCGCTAAATGTATTAGATTCGTGCATGATTCCAGCGATAGCAAGTGTTGTCATAATATTTCCTTAGATGGCAGTCAGCAATCAGCAGTCAGCAAGAGAACCTTGTGGCAGTACGCATGTTATGTACGCAACAACCTCTAATTGCTGAAATCCGATAGCCGTCCGCTATATTCGAGGAGAATGCTCCTATGATTATTTATTAACCCGAGTTGTTACTAACAAGTTTTGAACGTTTCAGCACAGTTTTTCAAGCACTTTCCCCACCCCGTAGGGGTACTATGTCTATAAATAGGTGGCAACTTGCGTTAGTTATTAGTTATCAGTTTGCCTCGCAGTGAGAGTTAAAAGAGGCTTCTATTAGACGATAACCTTTTCACTGATAACGAAAAAGATTCGAAGAGACCTCCTACAGGGTTGTCGGTCGTCGCTTGAAAGAGGCTTTGTGAGACGATACCCCTTAACTGATAACTGAAAACTAAAAAATACCTTGACGGGTTCACTGAAAATAGTGTATCATTTAACAATCTTTAAGTCTCCTATTTTCTAACAGCACGCCCAGGGAATTATATGCACGAATTGGAGTCGCGACACGACGCATGACGCAGAACGGGACCCGGAAAAACCAGATCGAAGAAGCGATAGAAGTCGCCGCTGAAGCCCATCAAGGGCAATATCGGAAAGGCACTTGCACGCCCTATATCACACACCCGTACGCCGTCGGACTCATTTTAATGGAAGCGGGATGCACCGAAGCCATGATTATTGCGGGTATCCTCCACGACACAGTCGAGGACACCGATCTGACACTCGAATTCATTCGAGAACACTTTGGCGACTCTATCGCAGACATTGTCGAAGGGTGTTCAGAGAACAAAGCATTGCGGTGGCGCGCACGTAAAACCGAACGGATTGAAGCGTTACGAACCGCCAGTCCCGAGGTCTGCATCGTAACATGCGCCGACAAACTTCACAACCTACGTACGATTATCTCAGAATACGATGTCATCGGTGACACGATATGGGATCGGTTTCACGGTAGTGTCGAGGATCAGGCGTGGTATTACCGCAGCATTCTCGGTGCGATCGCCGACCGAGATGCCGCTTTACAAAAAAGCGTAGAACGTGCTAAACTATCTAAACATGACAGTGGTGCGAACACCCACTCTGATGGAAATGACACCGCACCTCAACAAGAGCCCTCCGATAGCAACGACGCTCGGAAGACTCCCACAGCAATAGATGCTGTAAACCCTCAACTCTTTCGACAATTTCAGCAGGCTGTAGCATATCTATTTGATGGTGGTTTGTAAGTTACTTAAAGTTCCACCTGCGAAAAGGCGAGGTTAGAAACCTCGCCAGCGGAATATATGACTGTAGTATACCTATTTGAAGGAGAGACTCAATGAAGATTGCGTACGCTTTTAGACGATGTGCATCGTACCCGTACAACGGCGGCGAATTACCCACCGATGCGACAGACCGTCGACGGTTTTTGGAACACTCCAAAAAGATTGGATTCGATGGCATAGAACTTCCCGCGATGAACCTGCCTGACGCTGAAGCCGCGACGTTCCGTTCGGAGCTTGAAGATGCGGGTATGCCGTGTGTTGCAATTCGTGGCGGGGGTGGTGCCGCGCATCCGCGTGTTGCCGCTGCCAACAAGCAAAGTATGATAAACGCTGTCAATTTTGCCGCGAATATCGGCGCGGGCGTTGTCAATTCCACGGTTACCACGCCACCCCGCGACCCGGATGGCAAAGGCACGTATCGTGGCGCATCGGTATCGCAAGGGTCAAGTCGTCTTGCGAGCGCAGTGGATTATGAGCGTACAGCAAAAGCAGTGAGCGAAGTCGCCGGTATCGCCGCAGATCAAGGTGTAGAGATCTCCATAGAAATCCATCAAAACTCGATTGCGGATAACAGCTGGTCGGCACTCCATCTGTTAGAATTAATCGACGCGCCGAACGTCGGTGTGAACCCCGATTTAGGTAACATCTATTGGACTTACGATACTCCAGAGGAATCGTGCGAAGCTGCGATCGCCGCGCTCGCGTCCCACGTCAACTATTGGCATTGCAAGAGTCTCTATCGGGTGCATATCCCCTGATTTGGAAACGGCTATCTACGTCCAAGCCCCATTGCCTGACGGTGAAATCGACTACCGTTTCGCGATCGCGGCGTTATTAGATGTCAACTACGATGGGTATCTGGCAATCGAAGGTGTACGCGATGGCGACCAGTTCCACCAAGACGGGCGGAGTGTGGCATACGTGAAATCTGTTTTGTCGGACTTGCAATAAGAGTCGTCAGTTAACAGTTAGCAGTTTTCGGTTAAGAGGCTTTCTGTAACAATACACTTCTCCCTGGAATATTCCAAGTTCACGGAGATTGTTGCAAAGGCACATCTTCACTGATAACCGACAACCGAAGACCGATAACCATTTCTCCTGACAACTGAAAACTATCACTGTATAAGGAATTATGACACAAGAAAAAATCCGACTCACAGCGACTGTCAAAAGCGCAGGATGAGCATCAAAACTCGCTCCGGGTGAGCTTGCGCACATTTTAGGTAAAATCCCGAAATCCACGGATCCGAACCTGCTTGTCGGCACTGAAACCTCCGATGACGCTGGGATCTACCGCATTTCTGACGAACTCGCGCTCGTTAACACGGTGGACTACTTCACGCCTATCGTCGATGATCCGTATACATTCGGTGCGATCGCCGCAACGAACTCACTGAGTGATGTCTACAGTATGGGTGGCGTTCCGAAAACGGCGTTGAACATCACCTGCTGGCCCAAAGCTGACTTGGATTTATCCATCCTCGGCGACATTATCCAAGGTGGCACTGAAAAGGCTATTGAGGCGGGTGCGGCACTTGTCGGTGGACATACGGTGGATGCCCCGGAGCTGATGTATGGACTCTCCGTAACGGGTATTGTGCATCCGGAGAAATTCGTAAGAAACTACGGTGCGTGTCCCGGTGAAGTGCTTATTCTTACCAAAAACCTCGGTATCGGTATCCTCACCACAGGACTGAAATTTGATAAAATCAGCGATGCTGTCTTACCACAACTCGTCGAATCGATGACCCGACTCAACGCATCCGCAGCGTCAGTAATGCTGAAGTACGGTGCGAGTGCGTGTACAGATGTCACAGGTTACGGTTTGTTGGGGCATGCGTCAGAAATGGCAGCAGGCAACGATGTCCGCCTAAAGATCGATAGCGGTGCTGTGCCATACTTTGCCGATGCCCCCGCACTCGTTGCACAGGACACCTACACGCAAGCCTACCTTGCGAATATGACATTCCTCGCAGATAAGGTTACCTTCCATACCGATAGCGACGCGATGCGGCATATTTTGATGGAGGCGGAAACGTCTGGCGGTCTGCTATTCTCACTTCCCGCCGAGAACGCCGACGCGGCGATAGCGGAACTCCATGCCACTGATTGCCCAGAGGCGGCTGTTATCGGAGAAGTGGTGGGAACGGATACCGCGCATATAGAGGTATTTTAAAAGACTAACTGGTGAATTCCAACGCGACTGAGGATATGTACGGTTTTTTAAGGGGTAGGAGCATCCAAGACCCACCCCTACTACCCATCATAACCCAGAGACGGTTAGACTTAACCGAAAACCATCGTGGAACGTAGTGGAACGATGTTCAGAGGCACATAATTAAAAGAATGACAAAAGCAGAACTCGCGAAACAGATACGCACTGTTTCATATCTCACAGGAGAATTCACACTCCGCTCAGGGAACATTAGCAACTTCTATTGGGACAAATACCGGTTCGAGAGCAATCCCACGCTGCTCACCGCGATTGCTGAAGAGATGGCGACATTATTGCCATCCGAATGCGACGGTTTAGCAGGATTAGAATTAGGTGGCATCCCGCTCGCAACGGCACTCTCACTGCAAACGGGACTTCCCTGCTTCTACGTCCGGAAGGAAGCGAAAACATACGGCACGTGCAACCTCATAGAAGGTGGCACTAAAGGAGGCAGTCAGCTCGTTGTCATAGAGGATGTGATTACGACTGCGGGGCAGGTTTGCACGTCCATTGAGCAGATCCGCGCGGCAGGATACACGGCGGAACACGTTGTAGCCGCCATTGATCGACAGGCAGGCGGTGCGGCAAAGATTAATGCACTCGGGTGTTCGTTTGCCTCCGTTTTTACACTTGAGGAGTTAGAAGGATTTTAATTATACCTTGCGGAGTAACGAGGTACGTTTGGACTTTGAAGTGCGTTCCTCAAATCCGCCTGCGCCGATGTTGCAGGCTACGGGTTTGTTTAAAGAGCGCATAGCCCGTAATGAAATGGAGGGCGGATATACGGAAAGGAACGTCAAACTTGAAACCGACCTGACCGAACCGCAAGGAACATTAAAAATATGAAAATACTGTTTATCGGAGATATAGTTGGAAATCCGGGCAGAGTAGCAACAACGCAATTTCTGGACGAACATCAGCACAAATACGACTTCATCGTTGTAAACGGAGAGAACGCAGCGGGTGGCAGAGGGTTAACGTTTGACATCGTCGACCAACTTCTGGCATCTGGGGTCTCCGCGATTACAACTGGGAACCATGTTTGGGATAATAAAGATATTTTTCGCTTTATAGATACAACACCGCAACTGATACGCCCTGCGAATTATCCGACCGATGTCGCAGGACGCGGCGTAACCATTGTTGCATCCACTGACGGGCAAACTCAACTCGGTGTTATCAATCTCGCCGGACAGATTTTCATGAGTCCTTACACCAATCCGTTTCACGCTCTTAATTCGATTATACCTGAAGTGAAAGCAGTGACACCCTATATCCTCCTCGACTTTCATGCAGAAGCAACCTCTGAAAAAATTGCGATGGGCTGGCACGCAGACGGCAGGATAGGAGCGGTGATCGGCACGCATACGCACGTTCAGACAGCGGACGCACGCGTCCTTCCACAGGGTACCGCCTATATCACAGATGCCGGTATGACCGGACCCTACGACTCAGTTATCGGCACAAGAACTGACGATGCGCTTGAACGGTTTTTGACGATGATGCCCACCCGATTCACCGTCGCTAAAAGAAACGTCAAACTTTGTGGTGCCGAGATAGAACTTGACGAACAAACAGGGCTGGCAGTGAGCATCATGCCATTCCAGCATCAGTATTAATTAGTTGTCAGTTATCAGTCTTCAGTTAACAGTTGTCAGTTATAAGAGGTTTTTGTTGAACGACACCCTCTTATAGTAAAATCCGAGAATATGTTCACACTTGTAGCATAGGAGACCGTTGGTTTCCTGTGCCAAGTACCTTCACAGTTCGCGTGACAATACGAATGTATAAGTAATTACGGAATCTACTATAACTGAAAGCCGAAGTTTGATAACTGATAACCCTTAAAAGAAGTTTTTGTTAAACGATACCCTCTTAACTGAAAACTGAAAGGAAATCTGCATAGCAGATTTTCGCACTGACAACTGAAAACTATTATGCAATTAGAAATACCAATGGCAACAAGAACTGTCCACAGTGTCGGTGAAATAACAGATCTGCTGAAACGCCTGATAGCGCAACATCAACCCTTTCAGAATGTGTATGTGCGTGGACAGGTATCAAATTGTAGTCGCCCTCGTTCTGGACACATCTATTTCACACTCAAGGATGAGAAGAGCCAAATCAGTTGTTTCCTTCCCGAGAGCAATGCCAACCGCCTTCGGTTTTTGCCACGTGATGGCGAAGAAATACTTGCACAAGGAAAGATTGGAGTCTATGGCCCCCATGGTAAATATCAGATTACAATTGACACAGTAGAACCGCTTGGGATTGGTGCGTTGCAAAGGGCTTTTGAGGAATTGAACGGGAGGCTTGAGGCAGAGGGTTTGTTTGATTCTGCACATAAAAAACCCTTGCCGAAATTCCCCAAAAAAATCGGTGTCGTTACGTCAGCAAGCGGTGAAGCTATCCGAGACATTCGACGGCGATTGCATGAAAGGTATCGCTTGGCTGAAATCGTGCTACACCCAAACACTCGTCCAAGGTGATGGTGCAGCACCAAGCATAGTGCGGGCGATTCGGACGATGAATATGCGCGATGATATAGATGTTTTAATAGTCGGACGGGGCGGCGGCTCGCTTGAGGATCTCTGGGCATTTAACGAGGAGGTTGTCGCGCGGGCGATTTTCGCGTCCAAAATACCGGTGGTATCCGCAGTCGGACATGAAGGCGATTTCCCAATCTCTGATAAGGTAGCGGATCACCGGTCATCGACACCTTCCGCGGCGGTTGAAGATGTCGTCCCTGATCAACATGAGCTTCTGGCACAACTTGATGGATTTGATGTCAGGCTGCGTAGTGCAATAGGAACTCGCTTAGAGAGGCACGAAACACGCCTCCAAGACTTTGAGACACGACTCTCACCGATACGGCGAAAAGAGGCAATTTATCAACTTCACCAAACAGTAGATACTTTGGACGTTGCATGTCGGAGTGCTGTAGGGCGGAAACTCGCTGATGGCGAACGCGATCTTCACACACTCGCGCAACGCTTAAACGCACTGAGTCCGTTAGCCACATTGCAGCGAGGGTATAGCATCAGTCGGAAAACAGACGGAGCGGTACTCACCTCGGCTGAACAGGTGTCGATAGGCGATACGGTTGAGATTCAACTCGCAAATGGACATCTCGCATGTCGTGTTGAGGAACTCACGTCTAAACACCAAGCCATTAACAAGGAAAATGATTGAAGGAAGACTCTCCAATAATAGTGACTTCTTAACCAATGGAGATAATATGACATTTGAAGAAAAACTCAAAAAACTAACACAGATTGTTGAACAACTCGACGAAGGTAACGAACTACCGATCGAGGATTCCCTCAAGCTTTTTGAAGAAGGCATCGGTTTAATCTCATCGTGCAGGAAGATGCTCGAAAACGCTGAACAGCGGGTAGAAAACGTTCTCGAAACAGATACTCTTAAATAGTCTTCAGTTTTAACCATCAACTCGTGCCTTTGGAGGATGTAGAAGACGAGTTGATGGTTAAAGTCGTCAGCAGTCAGTTACAAGAGGTGTTAGGACTCGCAGTCCTCTTTTATGAAACGATAGCCGATAATCCAAAACTGAAAACCGTATCAGCGATAAGCGTCAGTCGTCAGGCAGGAAACCATCAGCGTAGCGAGCACTTTATTTATCAGAAACCGCTGCTGAAAGCCGAAAACCAGCAAGGTAAATATACTAAAAATATGTTCTTAGAAAAAATTAACAGCCCGCAGACTTGAAAAATCTTGAGATCGACGAACTGAAAGCACTTGCTGATGAGATGCGCGCCTATCTATTGGCAGTGCTCTCTGAACATCCAGGACATTTTGCACCGAACTTCGGGACGATCGAACTTGCAATAGCATTGCACAAAGTGTATGATACACCGCGCGACAAAGTCATCTGGGACATCGGTCATCAGGCGTATCCGCATAAACTGCTCACCGGAAGACGGGAATCGTTCCCAACGCTGCGACAAAGAGGTGGTATCAGCGGGTTCCTCAGCAGAGCCGAGAGTGAATATGATGTCTTTGGTGCGGGACACTCCAGTACTTCTATCGCCGCGGCATTAGGTATCGCAACTGCCAGAGACCTCATCAATGAGCATTACAAAGTCGTCGCTGTCATCGGAGATGGTGGATTAACAGGCGGAATGGCATTTGAAGCGTTGAACGCCGCCGGTGACTTCAGAAACGATATGACCGTCATTCTCAACGACAATAACATGTCCATTTCAGCGACTGTCGGCGCGTTTTCAAAACATTTTCACAAACTCACGAGTTCACCACAGTACAACTTCCTCCGCTCTGGTGCGAAGGGGTTGATTAATATGATTTCAGAAGATGCCAAGCAGATAGCCAGGAAGATTGAGGCATCATTGAAACCGGGCACTCTGTTTGAGGAATTCGGATTCCGCTACTTCGGTCCCCTCGACGGAAACGATTTAGAGGCATTGATACCGGTTTTGACCGGCATCCGCAGTCTCACCGGTCCTATTCTACTGCATGTCGTAACCGAAAAGGGGCGCGGCTACACACCAGCAGAAGAAGATCCAGTCGGGTTCTATAGTGTCAGTGGTCCCTTCAATCTGAAAACAGGAAAGACAACCAAACCGAAACCTGAAACACCCGCCTATACGGAAGTATTCAGCCGAACGTTGATTGAATTAGCGAAACGCGATGCGAGGATCGTCGGTGTGACGGCAGCGATGCTCGGTGGTACAGGGCTTGATAAGTTTGCAAGCGCATTTCCGAGCCGATGCTTCGACATCGGTTTGGCAGAACAGTGTGCCGTTACGTTCGCTGGTGGGCTTGCCGCTCAAGGAATGCGTCCCGTTGCCGCCATCTATTCTACTTTCCTCCAGCGAAGTTACGACCAAGTGTTACACGATGTCTGTATTCAAAACCTTCCGGTTATTTTCGCATTGGACAGAGGCGGGCTTGTGGGAGCGGATGGTCCAACGCATCACGGCGTTTTCGATTTGGCATTCCTCCGCTCTATTCCAAACATGGTCGTCATGGCACCCAAAGATGAGAACGAACTACAGTCTATGGTGAAGACAGCTGTGGCGTATCAAGAGGGTCCCATTGCGTTCCGTTACCCGCGCGGCACTGGCATCGGTGTGAAAATAGCCGCGGAACCGCAGGCACTACCGATTGGAAAAAGTGAAATCGTTAGAGAGGGCGAGGATGTGCTCGTGATTGCCATCGGCAACCGCGTCTATCCGGCGCTTGAAGCTGCACAAACGTTAGCCGATTCTGGAATCTCAGCGGCGGTTATTAACGCACGGTTTGTCAAGCCGCTGGACACCGCGACAATCCTACCGCTTGCGGAACGGATCGGTAAGGTAATTACGATTGAGGATGGCGTGATAATGGGCGGTTTCGGTAGCGCAGTTTTGGAGGCACTTGCCGCAGCAGGTATCAAAGACGTGCAGATCACAAACCTCGGTATTCCAGATGAATTTATTGAGCACGGTGATATCCAGCAACTCTATGCCTTATGTCAGTGCGATGCCGATGCGGTTGTCCGCACGGCACAGGCAATGCTGCAATAGTTATCAGTCGTCAGTCGTCAGTAAGATAGGGATCAGTTCATCTTCTGACCGCAACAGTAAACAGAAACGCTGCGACCTTGACGAAAACCCGATCATTAAAAAAATAAAAAATGCAACGGATAGACACCTTTCTGGTAGAGCACGACTTGGTAGAGAGTCGGGAACAGGCGAAACGGCTCATTCTTGCGGGTGCGGTGACTGTTAACGGAAACTCCAGAATTAAGCCGGGGCAGCGCATTCCCTCCGATGCCAAGGTGGTCGTGCAGCAACAACAAAAATATGTGAGCCGAGGCGGGTTCAAGTTAGAAAAGGCGTTACGCGCCTTTGATATAAACGTTCAAAATCGTGTCGCGCTTGATGTCGGCGCGTCAACAGGCGGGTTCACAGACTGCCTCCTCCAGCACGGAGCGAAATTCGTCTATGCCATTGATGTCGGTTACGGACAACTGGCGTGGAAACTTCGGACGCATCCACAGGTGCAACCGATTGAGAAAACGAACATCCGACACCTAACGCCAGCACTTCTAAAAACATCGGTGTTGAATGACACGGAAGATTGTGTCTCCATCGCTGTAATCGATGTCTCTTTTATCTCTTTGAGGACGGTACTGCCGAGTGTCATCAAGCTTATAACACAGCAAAATAGCCGTCAGTCATCGGTTATCAGCCATCAGTTAAGAAAGGGTTCGGTGAGATCAGATCCCTCTTTAACTGACAACCGACAACTGATAACTGATAACTATATTGACATCATCGCACTGCTCAAACCGCAATTTGAAGCCGGCAAAGCCCATGTGAAAAAAGGTGGAATCGTGTCTGACAAACAGGTACACATCCAGACGATAGATAATCTTAGCACTTTCGTCACGGAAAAACTCGGAGCCACAGTGAGGGGTCTGACCCATTCGCCAGTTCACAAGGACATTGGAAATATTGAGTACCTGCTTTGGCTGACGGTCGATGGTGAGCACATGGATTCCTGTCAACTCCAACAAACGACTGTTGAGGTTGTAGAAACTGCACATGAATCTTTTGAGGAGTAGTTATCAGTTAAAGGGGATTGCGATAGTTCTGACGGTTCTTGTTAGTGACAATTATTCTTCTGACTGCTGACCGCCATTCCTCCGACGGAATAACTAAAAATCTTAAAATAGGTGAGAAAACTAAAGTCTGCCCAGCGGGCAGACTGGAACTCGAGGAAAAACCGTGAAAGTCCAAAGCCACGTGCCTTAACCGCAAGGAAAATTAAAAAGATGCGAAAAAGATTCCAAAAAATATCTATTTTCGTCGGGATATTCCTCGTTGTCGGCTTATGCGGGACTTTTTTCTTTATCCAATCAAGGACCTTTCTGGATTGGGTAGAGGGACGGCTTGAGATTGAACTCAAAAATCGGATAACGGATGACTACACGGCAAGCATTGGCGATATAAAGGGTAACATCTTAGGAAGCATCAATGTTAAAAGCGTAGAGATTTCCAAGGAAAGTAAACCTGTAATTTCCACAGGGCAGGTTGTACTCAAATATAATCTGCTGGGGTTGCTAACTCGCAAATTTGAGGTGAAGGAACTAAGTGTGGACAAGCCGCAACTCCATGCGAAGCCTGACCTGATGAACTCAATCTGTCCAATATTTTCCAAGAGAACAAGTCTCGTGAAAATACGCCACAATTCGGTTTTGCCATCGAATTGCTCCAATTTACTGACGGAACAATCGACTACACCGATACACATCGGAATCTCGACATAAGAATCGAAGGCGTTTCTATTGATGTAAATGGACCTCTTAGCACATGGAAGCATGACGGAACGTTTAAAATTAAAAGTGGTAGTTTCAAGTTCAACGGTGCCGAGACTGCGATTGATAACTTTGATGCCGATTTTCAGATCTTAGCGAGCGGTAGTAAATTAGATAAACTCCAACTGAAATTTGGCAATTCAAATTTGACAGTCACAGGTGAATTTAACCACGGAGAAACCCCTGTCTCTTGGAACAGCACGCTCAATTTGCTATTAGATGTCGCAGATGTAGCACCGTTCTTCGGTGAAGACATCGAACTTGAAGGCATTGTAGACGCAACGCTGACAATGGACGGTGCGGATTCCGCTTTAGCAGGCACACTCTCTGTAGAAATGCCAACGTTCTCCGCCGTTCCCGCGGAAAACAGCCCCAAAATAGCGTTGACAGCACTACATGTTGACTCGGATTTCAACTCTGAACCCACCCCAATACTCACATTAAAAAAACTCAGTGTCCAAGTCGCCGACGGCACCGTGGTCGGTGATGGTAGCATCACGTTAGAAAACGCGTTGGAAGGCAATCCGTTAACACAACTTCAACAACTAACGCTCCATCCGATGCGCTACCGTGGAAAATGGGATGCTACAAAAATACAACTGATTCCCCTGCTGTCAATGTTCGTCCAAATACCAGAAAACCTTGTAGACAGCACAGGACTTCTCTCAAGCAGCGGAGAGCTTAACGGAAATAGTACAGACACCTCAAGCCTCGAACTCGACAGCAAGATAACGCTGATAGAGACAACCCTCGACGAAGTGGAACTTAACGATTCAACGTTCAATTGCACAATAGCCGCGGGTAAATTAAATATAGACGGGAACTTAGATGCAAACCGAGATTAATATCACAGGTCCCTTCCCCTTGGAACGACAAGACGCTTTGGAGATTCACGCGACGGACATCAATTTCGATGACCTGATGAAAATTGCCAACAGTACGGATATCGGCGGCACAGCGGAATTGTCTGCAAAACTATCGGATGGCACATTGACGGGGTTTATGGAGATCCCGAATGCGACCTTCAACGACATTCCGATCGGTGTTTTATCAGGGTGATTTTCGCTATCAAGAGGGTCGCGTATTCATCGAAAACGGCTTGATGACGAAAAACACCATAGCCGCATCGGGGTTACAAACCCCTCCTACAAAAGAATTCCTTTTAAGCTCTCCAGCGGAGAGCCATGTCTATAGCCGGACCACAATTACCGGTACTGTGGAGGTTAAAGACGGATTCCCGGCAAATTTCAGCGTCGTCGCCGATCCTATCTACGTCCAACATTACCCGAGACTCCTGTTAGGTGCCAAATATCCTGTAGACGGTGAAATCAGAGGCGAACTCAAAGTGGATGGAACGCTCATCAATTTGGATGGCAGTGCCAACTTCAGTGTTACCAAAGGCGTGGCATGGGGTATCCATTTGGATCCGCTGACGCTCCGTTTGGAAATTGAGGATTACAATCTCGTAGTGCCAGACTTCAAGATAACTACCCGCGAGCAGCAGGTTACACTCAATGTCGCAGTAACCTCCAAGGGTGACTATGACATCCTCCTCGAAAGCGACGCACCTGTCCACTTAGAAGAAATTGCGAAGGCGGCAAACCTCCCCGATTTCCCCTTTGAAGGACGATTCGATGTTCGGGTTGTTGGAACGCTCAAAAAACCGGCAAGTGCCGCCCCTCAGGTCAGCTGGCGGGTTGAACTCGATTTTTCAGACGTAACCTTCTTGCACAATGAACGCGACACGAAATATCCGCTCGGTGATGTCTACCTACTCGGCAAACTCATAGAACGAAAAAACACCACCGGTGAACCTGACATCTTCGCCAATTTCTTCGACTTTCATGGACACGGGTTTGACGGAACAAGTCAGATTCAGGGTTACGTCAGCATGGCTACGGGGAACCCCTACCAATTCACAGCGGAGAGTGAGGCATTTGATATTACACCGATTCTGCCCATACTACACCCCATGCTTGAGGCGGTTACGGGGACCGCTGGCGGGAGTGCGTCAATAAGCGGAACGGTGGCAGATCTTGTGCCACCCGCCGAGAACATAGCCACGAGCAATAGCCATCAGCCGTCAGCGGTCAGCGGTCAGGAAAGAGGTTCTCTTTCTGAAAACCGATTGCTGAAAGCCAATACGCAGGTTTATCCGTACGATGTGGATATTCTTGTCAGGACCTCCCAACTCCGCTATGAGACCACCGCAACGCAGGAAATCGCGTTCACAAATGCTGAACCGATTCGTTTGCATCTCAAAGACGACAAATGGACAATCGATTCCCTCTCCTTAAAGATATCCGAATCAATAAAAAAACGTCAGCCTGCAACAACGGCGCAGGCGGGGGATGATAAAAAACCGTTGTTAGACCAATCGCTTGATTTAACGCCTAGCGAATCATTAAATAACCCATTTCTTGAATTGACAGGCACCTTGGATGCAAAAAATGAGACGATGAATCTGCACGCTGTATCTGACGGGTTTGCGCTGCCACCGTTTGGAGACGCATTGGGACTTCCGCTTGGTATGCTGCAAACCGGTGCCGTCCGTTATGACTTGAAAGCGACAGGAACACCTACCCAACCCAATGTTCAGTTAGAATGGGCAATCCCGACGCTAACATTAGAAACAGAAGCAGGTGATATTAACATCGCCGATGCGGGTGGTGCAATAACATATCAGGAGGAGACGCTGCGTTTTGAGGGTTGTGCTTTCAAACTCTTCGGTAACGACATGAATTTGGAAGGGTACATTGATGTTCAACCCGAAGAAGTCAACAATTCAGAGTTACACCTCCGCGTCGATACGATTGCCTTGGATCTCGCCACCTGGTCTCCGATGGAGGCTATCAATAACCTTGGCTCCGGTAACGGAATAACTGGAATTTTAGAGGCTTCAATAGAGATCGGTGGCACGCTCGCTGAACCACTTGCGCTACTATACGCTGAAACAGCCGTTTACAGCGTCCGATTCGCTTTGCCTCTTATATCCCCTCTATTACGCTGGAGAGACTTCGTGTAGATATCCACTTCGATTCAGAATTCATACGTGTTCAAAGGGCGGAGGCGAACGGACAGATGGGCGATGGTTCCTACCGTGCCCAAGGAAAAGCCGTGTTCTCACGCCGAAATAGCAGTCAGCCGTCAGCCGTCAGCCGTCAGCAAGAAAACTCTGGTTCATCAGAAACCTCTTTAACCGATAACCGACAACTGAAAACTGATAATATTTTGAAATTGATGTGTCAGCGTCACAAGTAGAAATTGGGGACTATGGTTTCGCTTCAGGATACGTTAAGCTTAGCGGTACAGGTTTAGACCCACAGCAGATTACAGTAATTGGTGAAATAAACGAACTGGAACTTGATAGCTACGATTTCCGTCTCACGAACAGCGCACCGCTCCGATTTAAATCTGATCCGGGGGGAACCACTGAGAAGGCGGAACCCCTTGCCGTGCATATTCCGTTACAACTCATATCATCGACTATAACAGCAGCGATGGAACTCAACATTGCAGGCACCATCACCGCCCCTGAAATCACAGCAGACTGGCACGGCACGCTCAATGAAAAGGAATGGACAGGCAAAATCCAGTACCAAGATAAACGCATAAACGTCACTGGAATAGAACTCAAAAACCGTGAAGGGACGTTAACCCTTGCGGGTGTTATTCCGTTTAATCTGACATTTGAGGCGATGGATATATCTGAGCGGTTTATCGCGGCACCCATTGATGTACGTCTTCGAGGTAGCGAACTGCCTCTCAATTTTTTCCCAGGGATTGAGACCTTCTTTTCAGAGGCGGATGGCACTGTTGACATAGATTTGGGAATACAAGGCACAAGTCAATCTCCGTATGCGGTGGGAAACGTGTTTGTTGAGGCGTTGCAACTGCGTCTCAAGGACTTTCACGAGCCTCTTCAGAATATGCAGGTGCAACTCAGTGCACGGGAAGACCTGATTGATTTCACAGAGTTCCGATTTGACATAGGGGATGGCGACTGTAGACTTGAACAGGGACAGATAGTATTAGATGGTTTAACGCCAGAATACTTGATATTACGAGGGTTGAGATTAGAACGATTCCCACTCGGTTCAACTGTACGTCATGCCTTACCGCCAGACATGTTAGAAGAGGTAGAGGGGCATATAACAACGACACTGAGAACATTAACAGTGCCGTTCGACAGTTTCTTAGCGACTGGAGAAAGGACACCATTTCCGCAAGTCCGAGAGGTTCCCTCACTCGCCGACCTCGTGGCTGTTTCAAATGCGAACTTATCAATTGACAGCGTCCGCCTCGCTTTCAAGGCAATGGATCGGTATTATGACCTCCAAGATCCGCGACCGACTCCGATAGTTCTCAGTGATGGAACTTTGGTTTTAACTAAAATGTTCACACTTGAAAATAAAGACGAATTTTCAGTCAAGCAGACCTTTACCGACGAGGATACAAAACCTGACGGTTTACTTGGGGACGAACAGACCATTTCAGCTAAGACAACGCTTAGTATTGATGCTGAAAGCAAATGGTCGGTGAACGGGGAATTTGACGGCGCACTGCGGATCAAGAATTTTGATGTTTCAGCGATAACGGAGGCGTGGCCCGCGCCGTATCGGGTTACCGGTGCGCTTTCTGGAAGTTTACAGATGAGCGGTACCAGCAAGAATCCAAAGATAACCGTGCGGCGGCACGAAAACGAACCTGCCGAACTCTACCTACACGACATCCCGATTGACCTGCGATGGAGAATCCGATATCAGAACGGGAAATGGGAAATTACAGAGAAACGGTACGTTGAAGTCAGGTTTGGTGAAAATCAGTTGACTTTCTCATGGACGATGCCTTACCAGTTTGAAGTAATACCGTTTCTGACGGCACTGCAACAGTCCCCAGAAAAAGTTTGGACGGAACTCCAACAGACCCAAATGCGTGGGACCTTGGATATTATATTAGATGACCTTGACATGCTGCCGTTTGTGGTTCCTGGACTCAGCTCGGCGACAGGCACAAGTCAGGTTCATGTCAAACTGACAGGGTCGATGGAGGCTCCAGAAGCCAACGGCAATATCCTTTTTAACAATATTGGATTTCAACTTCCAGACGCTGGTATTGATGTTAAAGAGATAGTAGGCAAAATTGAGTTATCAGAAGCAGGTGCGATTATTAAGCAGCTTGATGGCATCTTGAACGATGGAAGATTTGTGATTGCAGGTAGCGTCACAGCCGCGCCGGATAGACGTATCTGGGAGAAACCACCGACGTTGAACGTGTCCACCGGTCTCACATCAACAGTTTTTGAACAACAAGGACAGTATCGGGTTGACCTCGCTTCCACCTCATTTCGTCTGCACGGGGAACTTCTTCGCCCCCATCTAACAGGGGAGCGTACATATCAGGGAAGGCTACTATCAACAAAATTGGGAAATAGTTCGGGATTGGCTCACAGGGGTTTCGGTCAAGGAAACGGAACTTGTATTGGACTACCCAATTCTACGTGATTTACATCTCGATGGGATAGATATTAACATCCCCGATAATTTCCGTGTGCTTTCATCTATCATAGGACCCACAGATATTGAAATCGCCTGCTTAGGCAAACTCTTCGGTCCAATTAGGCAGCCGGTTTTCAGCGGAAACGTTTCGGTGCTCAGAGGAAAAATTGGGATTCCTCCGCAGACCTTTGAATTCACTGAAGGATCTACAATCCGTAACCAGAGCACTGTCGATTTTGATCCGGAACTCACTATTTTTCTCCGTACACCGAACCGCATTCGAGGCGTGCTACCGAGAGACGAGAGCACTGTGGATATTCAGGTGTATGCCTCCGTTACTGGCACTCTAAGCAATCCCAACTTCATCCTGAGCGCGCCCCCTGAAACGACCACGGAAGTCCTCTCACATGACGATATTATAGATTTCCTCTTACGCAACGCTGCGCTCTCAGGCGCACTCGGTGGGTTCACGTTCAGTTTCCATCGCCCGCTTGATGAAGATGCGCGATATATCAGTGCAGAGTACCCACTTGGGAAAAATGTATCCATTAAAATTGAAACCAACGAAAAAAGAGAACATGGGATTGACATTGAATTCAAGGGACGTTTTTAATAGCCGCCAGCCATCAGCAAATTGGCTATCAGCCATCAGCCGTCAGCAATCAGTGAAGAGGTGGGTTTGTAACAATTCACAGCGCGTTGGAGGACTCCAAGTTGAGGTAGATTGTTACAGAGAAATCTCTTTGCTGACCGCTGACTGCCGACTGCTGACCGCTATTTTGCTGATTGCTATTTTATTGCCCTGCTGCTTTTTTCTCCAATCTGTAGAAGCGCAGGAATCAGTGGAACTCTCACGCGATAGAAAGAAGACAGAGGAAACGGCTATTTCGCAAAGTGAGACATCCAATCAGAAACAGATTGCAAAGATAGAGTACTACATTGGCACAACCCCTGCGGAAGAAACCACAGAACAACTCAATATACTTAGAAACCAGACAGTCGTATATGCTGGCGACCTACTACTGTCTCAGTATGTCATTCGACAGAGCATCAAAGAACTCTACGCGATACAGCAATATTCCCAAATTCAGGTATACTCGCAGGACACTCCCGATGGCATTGTTTTAACCTACCAACTGACTCCTTTCGCGCGCATTGAGCAAATTGTGCTCTCCGGCATCCCTGAAAACGAAGTCAAGACCGCCATCGAGAATACGATGCGGTCAAAGCAGGGAGGAAAGTATGTACCTACAATCGCTAAAACCGATGCGCAGCGCATTAGAAGGGTCTGTCAAGCGTACGGGTATTTCGACGCTAAAGTCATAGTCCCCGATGCACTCACCGAAACTGGTACGTTAACCTACCAAATAACTGTGGGAGATCCTTCAGTCATCAAAATATTGCAAATTAAGGGCAATGCCACTATCTCAACGAATGAACTTAAAGCAGCCTGTAACTTTAGCCGACTCTCTCCGATTTACAACAAATCTGCCGTGGATACCGATGTAGCAGCCATGTTAGAACTTTACCGTAAAAACAACCATCCCACCGCCACCATCGCCCCAACCTTTGTCCCTGAAACCGGTGTGTTACAATTTCACATCAATGAAGGCAAGCAGGTTCAGTTTAATTTTGTCGGAGAACTCCCTCTATCGCTCCAAGATGCGTTCAGAGAAGACATAGTTTCGCTAATAAACACAGCCTCCGCTTCTATGTGGGAACGCCGGATAAACTCTTATTTCAAAGCCGAAGGCTACCATGATACCACCGTAGATGAGGAGACACTGGATGCATCCAGTGTTCGACTTACGATTAACCCAGGGACGCGTTATGTCGTTAAGGGTCGTCACTTTCTCCGGGAACCGGGCGTTTTCGGACGCAAAACTCAAGCGAGAGATGACAATGAAACCCATAGGCGGATTCCTGCGAAACCTACAAGCGGACATCGTAAGATTGTTATTTCAACGAGAACAGAGACGCTTTTTTTATGAACCAGAACTCGATACAGATATACATCGGCTCAAAATTTTATACGGAAAAGCCGGTTACCCGCAGGCAGTCATTAAGACAACGCTCGATAAGAAAAATCCAAACAACCGGCGTATTGGCGAAGCTGTGATACACGTCACAATAATTGAAGAACATAAAGAGATGATTCACCGATGCGACATCAGCGGGAACAACGCGTTAGATACCGCGACGCTTCTGGCACGTTTGCAGAGTGAACTCCCCTTCCCGCAGCCGAATGCCTCGCTTGCGCGGAAAGCCTACGGCGACGCAATCTTAAAAGCCTATCACGAACTCGGATACATTGATGCAGTGGTTAGTAACTCGTATATATCAGAAACGGAAGATCCAGTTTTTCGAGTAACGGGTAATTTCTCGGCACCGCTTGAGAAAGGTAAACTCCCTCCAGAAATCCGAACGGAATTTGAGAGACATAACCTTACACTTACGGGCGTTTACATAGCCACCTATATCGGCAACCGTTGGAGTCTCCAAGACATCGAAGGTAACCCACGGTATACACTTAAACAGGAAGCGACACATCTTGAGGTTTATGAGCACGGGGTACTGCATCTCACTGTGGATCAGGAGAGTGAACAGGTAGTGTTCGGTAAATTCTATTTTGTGGGGGACACGGATGTCGTGAAACAACACGTGCTTGAACGGGAAATTACTCACCTTGAGGGAACTCTTTGGACATCAGAGAAGTTAAGTAGTGTCTTGCAAAATCTCTATAGCTTAGGGATTTTTCGCAGCGTCCAAAATGAACGCTTCTCACAGGTTACCCGTAGCATCAGGACACCGCAATCATCCAAGGTTGCAGATTCCGCTAACCTCCGTCTCAGGAAAATCAACGATATTTTAATAACGGTCGAAAAACAGAAACCAAGGACCTACAGTGTGAGCAGTGGTTACAGTTTCGCAGAGGGTTTCCGCGGAACATTGGCGTTAACGGACAGCAACTTTCTCTTTAAGCGGAACATCCGAGGACGTGTGCGCAGTAGATTGGGATGGCGAGACGAGTTAGGTTATCTCTTTGATGCAACGCTCACCGAACCGTGGTTGATTGGACGGACGCGCGGGAGTCTACAGGTATTAGCCAAGAAGTTAGAGGTGGACGATAACGTCCGCGCACTTCAAGGAAGGTTTCATCCTCAGCAGAGACTTGTCTGAATCGCACCACCTCGATCTAAGATATAGCTACCGTGACTTGAACCAACCGGTCCCACCGATGCCAGAAACACCTGTTGTAGGGGCAGGGCTACCCCGCCCCTACGAAGGACAAAATCCGTTCAAGACAACCGTGAGTAGTGTTCAACTTTCCTGGACCTATGACAACCGCGTGCGTTATTTGAATTCTACAGGTGGCATGCTGAACGCACTGACGCTTGAATACGCCGGTGGCCCCTTGCAAGGCGAAACCAGTTTTATCAAGACGACGACAGATACCCGATATTACCAAGAAACTCATTGGTGGACTTGTGTTAGCAACCGCTGTCCGATTCGGTATCACGACCGGATTTCGCTCAAACCGTCGCGCAGAATTGATTTCCTTTGAGCGGTTTTGGGCAGGTGGCGGGACAACGGTTCGAGGTTATGCAGAGCGCTCTCTCGGTCCTGAAGATAGCACAGGGATCCATCGCGGCGATGTGCAATTCATCTTTAACACAGAACTACGCTTCCCAATCTATTGGATAGTTCGCGGTGCGTTCTTTTTTGATACTGGCAACGTCTGGGATTCATTGGAAGATATCAATACAACAGCAGTGCTACCCTCCTCTGTCGGTGCCGGGCTCTATTTGGACCTCGGTGCCCTCACAGCTGGAATAGATTATGCCATCCCACTCGTGTCCACACCGGGTGCCTTAGATCCGGACAGAGCCTTTCACATTCGCTTGGGTAGTACCTTTTAGCGGAAGTAGCATATCACCTACAAGGTCCTTGATCTCTGTCAGGCAACCGTACGGACATAGCCGCATACACGAAAAATTAATCCGACGCTCCATACGGTTTCCCCAACGCGAAGGGTGCTTCGGCGCGCCCGACAAACCCTGCCAACACCGCTAAACAGAGCACATAAGGCAACATTAAAAATACCTGATAAGGAACCCCCCAACCCAACGCTTGGAATCGCGCATCGAGTGCCGAACCGAGCCCAAAAAGCAGGGCGGCACCACACGCCTTCACGGGATGCCATTTCCCAAAGATAACGATCGCCAAAGCAATGAACCCGCGTCCGACCGTCATGCCGGGTGTAAAATAGGGGACATCGGCGAGGGAAAGATAACCGCCAGCCATCCCTGCCATCGCGCCCGCGAATAGCAGACACATTGTCCTCAAACGGAGAACATTCGCACCAGCAGCGGCAATCGCTCTCGGATGCTCGCCACAGGCACGGACACGGAGTCCCTGTTGCGTATGGTAGAGGAAAAAATAGACACACGGCACCAGCAGGAACGTGATGAAAACGAGAATATTGTGCGAAAACAGTGCCCGTCCCAAGAAAGGAATTTGGGAGAGTAGCGGAATGTCAATCCGCTGAAACGCTGGCACGCCCTGTGCGATCCCCGTTATGCCAAAGAGTCGTTGATAGACGACCTCTGTCAAGCCCAATGCTAAGAGCGTCATCGCCGTGCCGATGATAACCTGATCCCCCCGCAGTCTTATCGCACACAGGGCAAACAACGCGGCGGCGATAAGTCCACTGAGACCTGCCATTAATAGCCCGAACCATGGTGCGATCATGGCGAATTCTGCCGTGTAGAAGGAGCCTACCATCCCGAAAAACGCGCCAGTGAGCATCATCCCTTCAATACCGATGTTAAGCACACCAGCACGCTGTGAGATGACCTCGCCTAATGCGGCAAGTAGAAGTGGAGTTGCCCCGCGAATCGTCGCTGAAAGAATATCTTCAAACATTTTTTATAGTAAAATCCAAAAATATGTGGACAGTTAGTCAGTGAACAACGCCCCACCGCCGCTGGCGAGGATTATATCCTCGCCTCTTTAGAGCGTCCAAGTAATTGTAGGTTTTACTATAACCTATGGGTTTTGCTCGTTTTTCTTAGATTGCTGCGGCACTGCAAACAAGTACGTTTTTTATTCTGATAAGTATAATCTCTGCTTTCAACTTGTGCATTAAAAACATTATAGTAAAGCCTATAATTACTTGGACATCAATGGAATGGCAAAACCTCTTAACTGACTGCTGACCGCCGATTGCTGATTGCTATTCCTGTGAAGACGCGCGCTTACGGAAAAGTTGGATAGAACTATAGCCGATGACGAAAAGCAGGATTGTTGCCTGCATCACCAACGTCACCTTATCGGAGATGCCCACCTCCCGCTGCATGCTATAGGAGCCGGTCGTCAGTGCGCCAAACAACAACGCAGTGGCAACTGCCACCAACGGATTCAGTTTTGCTAACAAAGCGACAGCAATCGCTGTGTAGCCATAGCCGGGTGAAAAGTTGAGAAAAAGCCTACGGGTCAATGCTGTTAGTTCAATTGCCCCACCGAGTCCTGCGAGTGCGCCACTGATAAAAAAGACACGGAGCGTGTTCTGCACAATCGAGATCCCCGCCGCTTCTGCTGCATCCGCTCCCTCTCCTACTGCACGGAGTTGATATCCAAACGCCGTCCGAAAGAGAATAAATGTGAGGAGAATCGCCAATACGACAGCCATCACAATGCCGAGGTGGACCCGATGCGGCGGAAAAATCCGAGGTAGAAATACCCACTGAACTATGCGATCGCTCTGGGGACCGCGTTGCGCTGTTTCCTGCAATGGACCGCCATCTATCATCATACTCACCAGATGAAGCGCGACGTAATTCAACATAATCGTACTGATGACTTCGTTGACCCCACGTGCCACTTTGAGGATCGCGGGAATGAGTCCCCATATTCCACCGGCGAGCATCGCAAGTCCGAGACACAACGGCACTGCAATCCACGGGTGCTGCGGAAAAATTGGAGCGAGTTTCGTTCCAAACCATGTCGCCGCTAATGCCCCAATCAAAAATTGTCCCTCAGCACCGATGTTCCAAATCCCGCACCGAAACGCCATAGCAACCGAAAGCCCCGTCATCAGAAACGGTGTACTCTTCACCAGCGTTTCTCCGAACTTTCTCCCATTTCCGAACGCACCACTCACCGCTGCTTGGTAAGCTTCTAATGGGTTATAGTGACAGAGCAGCATTATGATGGCGTTTGTGACAAACGCGCTCACGAGAATTAGAACAGGCGTTGCCAGCCAGCGAATTTTTAAACTATCAAATCTGTTCATCATTCCACAAGAATGGTTATCATACCATTTCTGATTGAAAATTCTTCAATAGGATTTTAATGAAAAAACCAATTGTAGCATAGGAAACCGTTAGCCTGTGCAGTTCTGTTCCTGTTTGATAAGAGCCGTAAATGCAATATAGTCTCTTAGAAATGGTATCAGTTATTAGTTATCAGTTATCAGTTAAAAGAAGGTTTGTTAAACGAAAACCTCTTAACCGACGACCGATAACCGACGACCGATAACCGATAGCTATTCCTCTGTGTGGGTTTCTCCGGTCATTAACAATCCGAGTGCCTCAACATCGTTGCGCTGCGCCGTCGCTTCGATCAACTTGCCTCTCGACATGACGTAGAGTCGATCGCTCAACAGCAAAACTTCGTCTAACTCTGTTGAAATTAACAGTACAGATTTCTTATGGTCGCGTTGTGCCAACAAATTCTCGTGTACATAGTGGGCAGCATTGACATCTAAACCGCGTGTAGGATTGACAGCGATAAGGAGATCCGGTTGAAGTGAGATTTCTCGGGCGAGGACGATTTTCTGTTGATTGCCACCGGAAAGTGAAGAAACCGGAATATCAGGGTTAGGAGGACGGATGTCATAATCAGTAATCAAATTTTCTGCCGTCTCCCGCTTTCGTTTCTGATTAAGGATATTCCACTGTGCGATATTCTCTAAGTGGGTCACGTTCAGCAAGAGATTTTCCGTAACCGAAAACCCCGCGATGACACCTGTTGTCTGTCTATCCTCAGGAATATAGCCAACACCGCGCTGTCGGACTGCCTTTATCCCCTGCGGATTGGCACCTAAGATGCCTATTGTTCCAGATGCCCTGTGTCGCAAGCCCATGATCGCCTCGGCGAGTTCGCGCTGCCCATTGCCATCTACGCCGGCAATACCAACGATTTCACCGCGACAGGTCTCCATGGAAACATCTGACACTGCGACTTCGTTTCGACTGCCGAGGACTGTTAGATTTGAGAGTTGTAGTACATTGTCTGGAGGATCGTTTTCGAGATGTGGACTGGCAGAACGTTCAACCTCGTTGATTTCTTCCCCAATCATCTCCCTCGCGAGTGCCCCTGCAGTCAGTTCCCCCGTCGGACCGAGGTAAACTTTCTTGCCGCGCCTCAAGACGGTAATCCTATCACTGATACTCAAAACCTCTTTCATTTTGTGGCTAATGAAGATGATGGCGCGACCGTCGGCTTGAAGTTTACGTAGAATTGTGAAGAAGCCTTCCACTTCCAGTGGACTCAGAACGGCGGTGGGTTCGTCAAGAATCAGGATCCGGGCATCAACGGCGAGTGCTTTGAGGATCTCCACACGTTGCTTTAAGCCTACTGATAAACTCCGCACCAACGCAGTCGGATCAACAATCAGACCAAACCGCTCGGAGAGTTCTTCAGTAATATGAATCGCTTCCTCTTTCTTAAAGCGGAATTTCCCCAACCACTTTTTGTAATCACCGTTTGAAGACGCGCTTCCCCGTGGTCCCGAACGCAATTGTCCAAGAGCCAAGGCAATATTCTCAGCGACAGTGAGATTCTCAATCAGCATAAAATGCTGATGCACCATGCCGATACCGTTAGCAATCGCATCCCGTGGCGACTTTGCCCGTAACCTATGCTGCCAGTTTTCGCGATCGGTAACATAGATGCGTCCGCCCGATGGCTGGTAAAGTCCGTAGATAAGATTCATCAACGTGGACTTTCCAGCACCATTTTCACCTAAAATCGCGTGGATTTCACCCGCTTGGAGCTCAAAATCGACACTGTCAACAGCGACAAAATCGCCGAAGGTTTTCGTAATATTCCGAAGTTCAAGGATGTTTTCCGCCATATTTCTAATGTTCCTTGCGGTTAAACAACGGAAATGAGGCTTTAGCGTGCCTTTCAAAGTATCCGTCCGCGCCGTTGTTGCGGACTACAGGCTTGTGCATACAAAGAAAGATACCCTTATCCCGATCCTCTCCACCAAGCACACGCGTATCATTTTAGCCACCGCCGCAACTCCCTGGGTATTGCGTCCATTGTGCTGCTCTTGCTGTTGTCAGCTCGCCATCGTAAGCGATAACCCGAAGCGCGACTTTCCAACTCTCACCCACCGGTGTTGATACCGACCCTGTCCAAGTCGGGTTATAGAGTGCCATCCCATAATCTCGTATAAACCATGGACCCCGAATGCCTTCATTAAGAATGCTCATAAAGACACCGAACTCTCCATGCCCTGCCAACACGTTCTGGTAGGCAACAAAGTCGGATTCGCCTTCGTGAACGACCTCGACACCCCCCTTGCGTCCGTTGTCACCCAGCACAATACCACCCATGATAGGCAGCAGTCTCGGTTCAACGCGGATACCGATGCTTCCGAACTTCGTTTGCGGATATGTCGCAGCACCGTAAGACGCAATCTTTTTCGCTCGTCATATCGCAGACTGTGGCATCAGCAAGCGCGTAAAGATTGACAGTGCGGATTTCGTCAATCATCGGTTCTTCGTTTTCATCTCGCCAGATAACTTTCTGAACGAACTGAACACCGTCCTTATGGGAAGTGATGTCAATATCCTTCTGTGTGTCCATCCGCCCCAATTTCTCAAAGACTTTGTCTGTGAAAGAGCGGCAGGGTGGTGATGCCCAAAAACCCGCCTCCCTGTCGCCGACCTGCACCGGTCCTTGTCCAACAAAAATACCGTTGTGAAATGGATGATCGAAGGCGAACTCCTGAACAACGGTATGTCCTGCCGGCGTGTAGAACGGGAAAGACGAACGGACGATAAAAATTCGCACCGACACCGCCCAAACAGCGTCCTGTATCGCTTTGAACAACTAAATGTGTTTTCGCATTTACTTTGACTTCAAAAACGTTATTCATTTTTTTTTATTTTATAACCCAAATTGCCACCTAAACAGTCGGATACACCTTTCGCTCCGCTGGGGCTTTGTTTGTGGCGTTTTGTGGGTTCTATACACCTTTCGCCCCGCTGGGGCTTTTGGATTGGCAAGTCTGGATTTGCCGACCCGTGCTGGGCATCCGTTAAACGCTAAATTCGATCCAAAGAAACTATGGTAAAACCTAAAAATATGTAGACAGTTGCTCAACGAACGAAACTCTCACCCCGCTGGCGAGGATTGTATCCTCGCCTCCAGCAATGCCTAAGCAATTGTGGGTTTTATCATAAACACACGCGGAACCTAATTTTTAGAGCGTCCAGATTGTGGCAGCGATGTGTTGTTCTGGATTTTCAACGGTTGTGTAATAGTAGAGCGTTACCAGTTTTCCATCCGTGCGCTGAATTGTACGTGTATACCCGAAATCCCAATTTCTACCGTCATCGCGCAGGCGTTCCCCCTGATAGAATAGCACGCATCGTATCACTACGATGCCTTCTACGAAACAGTGCTAAAAAGTATATGCTATATGTCCAGAGGTGTCAATAGAAAATGTTAGAAATGTGGGATACGTGGGGATTCGGAGACCCATCCCTATAGGGTTGTCGGTTGTCAGTTCCGATCAGTTGCCGCGATCGGAAGATCCCTCCTACAGTGGAAATGAATGTCCTGATGCAATGTATTAACGCTTTACATTTTTCGCGTAAACATGCTATACTGTATCAAGCATTTCTGTAAAAAAGGAGAAATTTTGAAGTGATACAGATACCTTATAAGTTACGCAATAACGTTGCAATCTACACATTGCTTCTGTGCATTTTCATCATCGGGCTTATGCTGATCGGGAGCGCGAACCTTGAGGCAAAAGGGCATGAAAAATTTAAGGTTGCCATGTTGCTGCCCGGTTCAATCAGTGATGCGGGTTGGAACGCTTTGGCCTACGAAGGACTCAAAGCGATTGAAAAACAACTCGGTGCGGAAATCAGCCACGCTGAGACCCGAACCCCAACAGATCAGGAAGAACAATTTCGGGCATACGCACTCGACGGTTACCACATGGTGTTTGGACACGGATACGAGTTTCAAGACCCGGCGAAAGCGGTCGCACCGGATTTTCCAGAGACGATTTTCATTACGTCATCCGGTGGTACGATCACCGATAACATCTCACCCGTCAACTTTCGTGTTGAGCAAGCTGCCTATCTGTTAGGGATGATCGCAGGTATGATGACCGATACAAATAAACTTGGTGTCATGGGGGGTCAGAACATCCCATCTGTCAATAGCACGTTTATGGCGTTCGAAGGTGGCGCAAAAAGTGTGAATCCTGAAGTAGAGGTATCTTGGGTATACGTCGGGAACTGGGAGGACATCGGCAAAGGGAAGGAGCTTGCACTCGCACAGATTAATGAAGGGGTTGACTTCATTTTTCCGAATGCGGACGCAGCGGGACTCGGTGCTTTTGAGGCGGCTGAAACTCGCTCAAAAAGAGGGAAAAACTGTATACACGTTCGGCGCGAACCGTGACAAGAGCGATATATCCCCCACAACCGTGATTGCCAATGCTGTGATTACACCGAACGCTTTTGTGAAAATTGCTGAGATCATTAAGAATGGCGAGTTTAAACCACAAATCTATACATTCAGCATGCTAACGGACGAGGCAATCACTCTCACCTACAACCCCGCATTGAAGGATAAGGTGCCAGAGGCGGTGCAAAAAGCCGTTGAAGATGCCAAAGCCAAAATCCTTGCTGGTGAGTTGAAGGTGCCACAAATCGACTTCTCCGAAAAGGAAGATTAACGCGCTTTTCTAAACAGTGTGTCTCTGACGTGCTCTCTAAGCGCGTCAGCGCATACATGGGAAGATAGAACCTATCAACGGTCAGCAATCAGAAAGCGTCGCGATCGTGAGATCGCTCCTACAGAAAGAGGAGTTTTTACGTGAAACAGATATTTTTCAAGTCACGATATAGCATTACAATTTATGCTTTACGAGACTTTACGGAATGAAAGCCCAATGCTTTAGCTTTGGGATGAAATTCCGCCCTATTGGAAAGGACCAAACGTCTAAAATAGATTTGACATTCCGTCCAAATTGTGGTATAATTAATAGTATCAAGTTGGCAGACAGTTGAAGCGTAATCGCAAGGTTACGTGTCTGCCTACCCACTTCAACGGGGTTAAAGACTTGGTACTTGATAGTTCATGAAAACCTATAAATACCCGTTAGGGGAACAATCGAACACAATCCGCATTGGTAACTTGCTTGACGATATGTGGCAGGTGCATGAATACTTCCATAAGTGGCAGCGTCAACGGTATAAGGACGGCCTGCCGTATGCGAACTACGCAGCAATGTGCGCGCACTTGACGGATTTGAAACGAACGACACACCCACATTGGAATGCTCTGCCAAGCCAAGCCATTCAACAAGAGTTGAGACGGATTGACGCAGCGTATGACCGATTTTTCAAGAAACTCGGCGGTAGACCGAAAATCAAAAAGAGACACAAGTTCAAGTCTATCACCTATCCAGGAGAAGCGGGTTGGTCTCTGAAAAACAATCGCATTACCCTTACATTCCGCAAGTGGGATAATGGCAAATGGCGATTTGATAAAGTTGCGTATACTTTCCATAAACACCGCCAATGGCACGGGAATATTAATAGGGACCTCAACGCTGCGATAAACATTTTGCGGGCAGGGATAGCCGTCACTTGACGATATGCCTCATATCCATCTCTTTGAGGATATGGGGGAAATGCCCGCAGGTGGAGCGACAGTTAGACGGTGGACTCTTAGAGAAAACCGCAGTCGCTACGAAGCCGAGGTTTCCCCAACCTTTAGGTTGTGGGTGCTATCACAAGTTCTGCGGCATAAGCCCGTAACGTAGTGGAGGGCGACTCCAGATAGAAGCACTTCAAGTTCCAAACTCACGTCGTTTAACCGCAAGGAAAGTTAGAAAAATTGGAGCATGACCATGACGCAAAAGATGGAAATTGATGGTGTTGAAGTCGCTTTTTCCGAGGATGAAACGATCCTTGAGATTGTTAACAGAAGCGCGCAGCACCTTATAAAGCCCCAGCGGGGCGACATGTCTGTAGAGGCACAACGCCATCAGAACGAGATTCCAACGCTCTGTTACGACCCAAGGCTTGAGCCTTTCGGTGGATGTCGCCTTTGTATCGTCGAATTAGAAGGCGCGCGAAACCCGGTAGCATCTTGCACGACGAAAGCCACACCTGGGATGGTCGTCCGTACAGCGACCGATACAATAGAGGCGTATCGGAAGACGTTGCTCGAAATGGTTGTCGGTGAAAATCGTGAAGTCGATGTATCCCCATTGCGCGGTTATGCATCTGGCGAACTCACCGACCTCCGGGACAGGTACGGAATTAACGGCACACGTATAACAGGTGCAACATCCGGCACGAGCAAAACCGATGAAAATCCGTTCATTCTCAGAGACTACGAACTCTGCATCTCCTGTTATCGGTGTGTCCGCGTCTGCGCTGAACAAGAAGGCGATCATGCCATCAATGTTATGAATCGCGGTTTCCATACACAGATTACGACAGAGTTTGACGGACTTCTCAAGGACTCTGCTTGCACCTTCTGTGGACAGTGTATCCAGACCTGCCCGACCGGGGCACTCGCTGATAAAAAAGCACTCCGCGCGGCTGACGAAATAGCGGACGCTGTTCCTGACAAAACGCGCACAATCTGTCCTTACTGCGGCGTTGGATGTTCTGTTGATGTACTCACGAACAACGAAAAAATCGTCGGTATCCACCCTGCAATGGATGGACCCGCCAATGAAGGGGCACTCTGTGTCAAAGGTCAGTTTGCTTACGACTTTGTGCAGCATTCCGACCGACTAAAGACCCCGCTCATCCGCGGTGACGATGGGGAACTCCACGAAACTACATGGGAAGAAGCTCTTGACAAAGCCGCTGAAGGGTACCGGAAAGTCCAAGCTGAACACGGTAGATATAGCATCTACGGTGTCGCCTCTGGGCGCGCACCGAGTGAAGCGGCGTACCTTATGCAGAAATTTATCCGTGTAGGGTTCGGGACGAATTACATCGATAACTGTAGTCGTGCTTGACACGCGCCAACCGTTGCCGGTCTGGCAGCGACAATCGGACGTGGCGCGATGTCGAATCCGCTCGTTGACATGCAGAAGCCGGATGTCATTTTCTGTATCGGCACAAACATGACGGAGTGCCATCCTGTCGCGGCGACGGGGCTGAAAAAGGCGGTCGCCCGCGGTGCTAAACTCATCGTCGCGGATCCGAGGCGTATTGGTTTAGCGGACATCTCCGATCTCTATCTACCGCTCCGCGTCGGTTCGGACACCGCGCTGCTTCTCGGAATGGCACACGTGATTGCCCGTGAAGGTTTGATCAATGACGAGTTCATCAAAAATCGAACCACTGGGTTTGATGAATTCTTTGAACACATCAGCGAGTGGACACCGGAATGGGCGGAAGAGATTACAGGAGTGCCAGCGAAGGATATTGAAAAAGCAGCAATCTGGTATGGCGCCACGAACAAGGGTGCCATCTACTACACTTTAGGAATCACGGAACACATCTGTGGCGTTGAGAACGTGCAGAGTCTCTGTAATCTTGCCCTTATGACCGGTAATATCGGGCGCGAGGGGACGGGTATCAACCCGATGCGTGGGCAGAACAACATTCAAGGTGCTGGAGACAGTGGTGCGTTGCCAAACAACTACCCCGGTTTCCAAGCCGTCACGGATCCAGAACATCAGGCGAAGTTTAAAGCGGCATACGGCAGGGAAGTTGACTTGGAGAAAGGCATCACCAAAGTCACCGCCTTAGAACTCTGCGGCGACAGCATCCACGCGATGCTGATTGACGGTGAAAATACGTTGCTATCGGATCCGGACCGGGAACACTGTGAGCACGCGCTTCGTTCGTTGGAGCATCTCGTTGTCATCGACATCTTCCTTACCGAAACCGCGGAACTCGCTGATGTCGTGCTACCAGCAACTGCATGGGGTGAAACGGACGGGGTCTGCGCGAACACAGAACGTCGCGTCCAACGACTGCGCGCCGCAGTCCCGCCATCCGGTGAGGCAAAACCGGATTGGTGGATTATTGGTCAAATCGCGCAACGTCTCGGTTTTAAAGGCTTCGATTATGACGCGCCGGAACCGATCTTCAACGAACTCTGCGAGCTTTCACCGATTTATGCAGGATTGGATTGGGAACGCATCGACAAAGGCACCACGGACATCTTAAACAACCAGTGGCCCGTGCCGCACAAAGGACATCCCGGTACACCGAGATTACACGAAGAAACGTTCGCGAACGGACGCGGTATCTTTTCCAATGTGCATTACCGAGATCCCGCTGAGACGATTAGCAACGATTTTCCTGTATGGCTCACAACGGGGAGACGCTTGCAATCCTATCACACCCGCACGCAGACAGGCAGATCACAGGGAATTGATTACCTATTGTCGGAAGAATCGCTGGAAGTTAATCCTACTGACATTGAGAAATGGAACTTGACGAACGGAGAATGGTGTAAAATGAGCAGTGCACGTGGAAGTATCACTATCAAAGTGAAAGCGACGAACCGCTCTCCGCGTGGCACAGTCTTCGCGAGTTTCAGCTTCGCAGATGTCCCCGTCAACCTATTGACGGGTTCTGGTTATGATCCGGTTACCCATACCGCTGAATTGAAGGTGTGTCCGGTCCGGTTAGAACCGCTTTAAGGTCTTTTAAACGGGGCATCGCTACGCTCATCCCCGTTGGGGGAATCGTCGTTTTTTGATTAGGTACGTACAAAAGAGAAATAGACCTTATCAAGAAACGCTTGAGGCGAGCAAGAGAAACGGAGACAACATATGTGTGATGATGTGAAGTTTGAGAAAAGCAGTGGGAACGTGTTTAAAGATATAGGTTTTTCTGATGAAGAGGCAGAAGCCTTGTCGTTTCGGACGAAGTTGTCTTTTGAGGTATTTACACTTCTCAAGAAGTCTCGGCTGAGACGCGTGAAGGCGGCGAAACTTCTGGCGGTTGACCCGGCAGACATCTCGAAACTCAAGAACGGGGACGATGACCATTTCAGCTTGGCATGCCTTTCTGACTTTCGGGATCGGTTGAAACGTTATATGGAAGATCGGGTTACGCCATCAGAAAATGACGATACACAAAACGCAACAGATGTACTTGGAGTTGGAAGATGAATTGGAAATCACGCTGGTCAGAACAGCATGCGGACACTGACGCTTTAAAACAACAATTGCAATCCGAAGGGTTTAATGCCTACGAGTGGACAGGTCGCCCGGGGGGTGCTTACCTTGATTATATCCATACCTTAGATGAAGTCGTCTGTGTGTTGTCTGGTACGGCTGATGTGAAAGTCGCAGATGAACAGGGGACTGTCGAACCCGGCGACCGGATGGATGTCCCCGCGAACACCTACCATTCGATTACCGTCACAGGCGAGGAGCCATTGGTGGTCTTGACAGGGATGCGAAGAAATTAAGATTGTATGCGCAAGCCTCTATAGGAAACCTGCGGGACAATGCCATAAAACGTTAAATATAAAGGCGTATTTCGGTTAAAATTATTATATCTGAGCTCGAAGTAATGCCTTTGATTACCCAATTTGTGAAGAATCTTAAACAAAAAACCAAGCCTGTAACGTAGTGGAGGGCGGCTCGAACACGAAAATTGTTAAGGCCTGAGACCCCGTTACTTATCCGCAAGGAAAATTAGAAATATGAATATTACTGTCAAAACGGGTGGATTTGCCCAGGAGCAGACCGATGTTATCGCCATCGGTGTATTGGAAAACCCGGATTTCTATAGTGCACCTCTCCAAAACATAGAACAAGCTCTCGGTGGACGCATTCGTGAAGTAATGAACCTCGGTGATTTCACAGGCAAACATAAGACGACCAGCTGGCTCTATACAAACGGAGCCATCGCGGCACCGCGTGTGCTTTTGGTGGGTTTGGGTGAATATCACGATCTCACTGCCGAGAAGGTGCGTGAGGCAGCAGGGAACGCAGCGCGGGCGATCCGCGACATGGGTTTAAGCACTGCCGCAATTCCGATTCCTATCGAAGCCACTCCCGAAATGATTCAAGCCGCCACGGAGGGAAGCCTTCTCGCACTCTATCAGTTCAACGAACACAAAACGAACACCGACGATGATGACAAGAAAAAGAAACTTGAATCTCTTACGTTTTTAGTTGAAAACGAGCAAATCAAGGCAACGATAGAAGGTGCTGTGGCGCGCGGGAAAACGATAGCCAACGGCACTCTCCTCGCTCGAGACTTAAGCAACCAACCCGCAAACTATCTCACACCGACACAACTCGCTGAAAAGGCACAAACGGTGGCAGAAACAGCGGGACTCGATTGCGAAATTTTTGACAAAGCGACCCTTGAGGAGAAAGGTTTCCGTACACTCCTCGCTGTTGCGCAGGGGAGTGTTGAAGAACCTCGATTCATCATTCTGGAATATACACCAGACGGCGAAGGACAAGACACCGTCGTGCTTGTCGGAAAAGGGATTACCTTCGACACAGGCGGAATTTCTCTCAAAGGCGGAGGCGGTATGCACGAAATGAAGCATGATATGTCGGGTGCCGCTGCAGTAATAGGCGCGATGCAGGCGATCGGACAGCTGAAGCCCAACGTGCGCGTCATCGGTGTGATTGCTGCGTCCGAGAATATGCCGAGTGGGACCGCTGTTAAGCCGGGCGATGTCGTCACCTCCTACGGCGGTAAAACGATTGAGATCCTCAACACCGATGCTGAGGGACGGTTGGTGTTAGCAGATGCTCTCGGATGGGCAGCTCAGTATAATCCGAAGGGTGTTGTTGACTTAGCCACGCTCACCGGTGCCGTGATAACCTGTTTAGGACATATCGCGGCGGGTGCGATGGGCACGGATGAGGAACTCATGTCGAAAGTGAAATCGGCAGCCGTAAAGACGCACGAACGGGTCTGGGAATTGCCGCTTTGGGACGACTACGATGAAGGGGTTAAAAGCAAGATTGCGGATGTACAGAACATCGGCGACGGCGGTGCCGGTACGATTGCTGGTGGTGCGTTTTTGAAGAAGTTCGCGGAAGGTTATCCGTGGGTCCACCTCGACATCGCTGGCACTGCTTGGGGGATGAAGGGTTCCAGTTACATCCCGGAAGGCGCGTCCGGCTACGGCGTGCGATTGCTGGTGCAACTGGTTGAAGATTGGTAGTCTTTCAAACGAAAAAGTAGAAAGTCCTATCACGTCTCCGGGCTATAATCCTGATTCCTTTAGGTTTAGGACTTAGACTCGGAAACGTGATTCGGAGTCTCTCCTACCACGCAAAAAAAACGGCGAAAGAGGCTTCAACAACCCCTTTCGCCGAATTGTATTTGAAAAATATTATCCTTCCGAACGGATCTGAATTAACTTATTAACAGCATGGATGTAAGCCCGTGCACTCGCTTCGATGATGTCTGTACTGGCACCGTATCCTGTAATGATGTTCCCATTGTCCTGCACCTTTAGCGAGACTTCACCGATAGCGTCTTCCCCTTCGGTTACGGAACGGATCTGATAGTCGATGAGGTTTAGTTGAATATCAACGACGTGGCTAATCGCCTTAAACGCCGCATCTACCGGTCCGTCCCAGTTGAGGCTTTCTCAATTACCCCATTTTCCGTCCGAACACCGACCGTCGTTGTCGATGCGATCCTCGTTCCACTGACGACTTGGATGTAATCAAGTTCAAAGACAGCAGGAATGGAGCGAATCTCATCGCTCATTATCGCCTCAAGGTCGGCATCCTGCACTGCTTTTTTCTTATCAGCGACCCGCAGGAATCTTTCATAGACTTTGTCTAACTGATCGGCATCCACTTCGTAGCCGAGTTCGCTGAGTCGGTGTCTGAGTGCGTTGCGTCCGGAACGCGGGCTGAGAATCAGTTGACTCTCTTTCCATCCGATCTCTTTCGGATCAATGATTTCAAAAGTCACGCGCGATTTGATGATACCGTCCTGATGGATACCCGAACTGTGTGCGAATGCGTTCGCACCGACAATCGCCTTGTTCGGTTGAACGGCAATGCCCATCGTCCGACTCACACGCCGGCTGATTGGGGCGATTTCTTTCGCGTTAATGTCGGTGTAATACCCTTTGAAGTAGTCACGCCGAGTTCGGATCGCCATGACGACCTCTTCCAGCGCAGTATTACCAGCACGTTCTCCGAGTCCGTTGATTGTGCATTCCACCTGCCGCGCGCCTTGCTCCACTGCTATAAGACTGTTCGCCACCGCTAAACCGAGGTCGTTATGACAGTGTACACTGATAATGGCATCGTTAACATTTGGGACATTCTCTATGATGCCTTTAATTAAGTTCCCAAATTCCGTCGGTACTGTCCATCCGACGGTTTCCGGGATATTGACGACGGTTGCGCCTGCAGCGATGGTCGCTTCAACGACTTCATAAAGGAACGCTAATTCCGTCCGTCCCGCGTCCATTGGTGAAAATTCGACATTCGCATCCGGGTGTCCTTCACACAAACTCTTTGCATAGGCGACTGCATCGGTTGCCATTCGCAGCGTATCTTCGGGGGTCGTCCGTGTAATGCGTCCCATGTGAATCGGTGATGTTCCGACAAAAGTGTGGATACGGGCACGTGGTGCGTCCTCAATAGCTTTCCATGCGGCAGTAATGTCCTTCTCCACAACGCGAGAGAGTGCACAGATCTCCGGTCCTTCAACTTCGTTGGCTACCCGTTTGACAGCCTCGAAATCTCCCGGCGACGAAATTGGGAATCCGGCTTCAATGATATCAACATTTAATTTGGCGAGGTGCTTGGCAATCTCCAGCTTTTCCTCAATACCGAGTGCAGCACCGGGTGTCTGTTCAGCATCGCGGAGCGTTGTATCGAAAATATAGACTTTCTGCTGGTTGTTTTGAAAATCGTCCAAGGCTCTGTTCCTCCAAATTTTAATCAGGGGCGGATAAAGTTTGCAAGTTGCGAGAGAAGTCTGATGCTGTTAAAGGGTTATTGTCAAATTTAAAAGCATCAGACAACATAACATAACCAACACCGCCAACTTCAATAAATGAAAATGTAAACATTTTCATTTTTTTCCTCCACATTAAAAAGTTACATTTCACGACCGACAGCGATGGCAATCGGTTTCAGTTCCCGCATCAGGGTCTCGAATTGATCTGGGAACAGCGATTGCGCGCCATCTCCCGTCATTGAATGGTCTGGGTCATGATGTACTTCAAGTAGCAATCCATCAGCCCCAGCCGCCACAGATGCCTTTGTCATATCACATACGAGACTCCGGATACCCGTGCCGTGACTCGGATCAACAACAATAGGCAGATGGCTTAATTCGTGAATAACTGGTACGGCGTTCAGATCAAGTGTGTTGCGGGTGTGCGTTTCAAAAGTCCGAATGCCGCGCTCACAGAGAATGACATCGGGATTTCCTTCAGCGAGGATATATTCGGCGGCAAGGAGCCATTCCTCAATCGTCGCGGACATTCCGCGTTTGAGAATGACAGGCTTATTTGCACGCCCCACTTCACGCAACAGATAGAAATTCGTCATATTCCGCGTGCCGAGTTGGAACATATCTGTATATTCACCAACGAGTTCGACTTCGTGCGGGGTCATGACCTCGGTGACGATGCCGAGCCCGGTTTCGGCTTTCGCCGCTTCCAGCATTTTGAGAGCCTCTTCACCGTAACCTTGGAAACTATACGGACCCGTCCGCGGTTTAAAGGCTCCACCTCTGATGAAACTCGCGCCGGCACTCTTAACCTGTTGAGCAATGGTTACGATCTGTTCCGTGCTTTCTACTGCACACGGACCGGCAATGACAGGCACCTGCCGTCCACCAATCTTTGTGTCATTGACTGCAATAACCGTCGGTTCATTCCGAAACTCACGGCTTGCCAATTTGAACGGTGCCGTAATTGGCATCGTTCGATCAACACCGGACATTGACTCTATCGGAATATCACCAAGCACTGTTTTATCTCCTATGACACCGATGACAGTGTGTCTCTCGCCGACTGAGACTTGGGCTTTCAATCCTGCACCTTCGATCCGTTTTACAACAGCATTGACATCTGCTTCTGTCGCATCGGTCTTGGTAACAATTACCATGCTTTTCAACTACCTCCGCCTTTTTAATAGCAAGTTTTCGGAATAATGGCAGTCAGCCATCAGTTTTCAGCAGCCGGTAAAGAGCCACTTGTGGTATTCACAAAAATTGTAACCGCCACAAGAATCTATCGATAGCCGATGCTCGATGAATGACAACCAATACATCGAAAAATAACTCTGCCTGTCGCAAATCAAATTCGGTTAAAAAAAATACCCAACATTGAATTTTTTCAACGCCGGGTGGTGATAATCGAATCGGTTAGTTTTTGTAATATAGCATCGCCTACGAACCTTCACCACCTGTCGTTGCTGTACAAATAAAAGTACAGGTACAGATACAATCCAAAAAAGCCTTCAAACAAACCTTTGCTTGTAAGAAGCGTAAAAAGAGACCATGCGTAGGAGGAAGCGTTCCGTAAAGAGACTGGAACAACCCGGACATGAGGTATCTGTGCTGTATTAGTATTACGTTGAAGCGTTCGCATCATCAAGTTCCTAAAAAAAGCCCCGACCCTAATGTTCTGAAAGCAAATCCCGCTATTAAAGCGGATATCTTTATTATTATAACGTAAGACGTTATTTCTAAAAAAGCGTTTAAAATTTTCGCAAGGAATAGCGTTTTGAAAAGGGCACGCCGTAATTTCCTGTAAAATGGCTAACCCTATTATATAATAACATACTTTTTTATGCAAGTCAAATTTCTTTTTATAGCAACACTCAGTTTCCAGCAATCAGCAATTACAAGGAATTAGAGATCGGGATTCGGAAATTCTTCCTACAAGAGAACAAAAGTGCCTCTAATTTCCGAAAATAATCTTGACAGCCGAATCGACGTACGCTAACATACGAAAAGAACAAGGACACGGAGAAAACTATGCCGAAACCAGAACATTTCACACCGATTACCGTCGGGATTATGGGCGGTTCCGCCTCTGGGAAGACGACGTTCGCGAATGCCTTGGCAGAACAACTCACGGAATTCTCGCCTGTTGTGCTAAATCAAGACTCCTATTTTCGCGACTGGTCGGAATACTCGGAATCGGAACGGGAACGCGTCATCACTGCGAATCACCCGGATGCCGTTCTATGGGATGCCCTCATCACAGACATCAAGAAACTCCGCGATGGCGATGCGATCGACACACCTACCCCCGGCACCCGTGCTGCACAGCGTGGCAACACAAAAGCGAGCGTGCAACCGAGCGACATCGTCGTTGTGGAAGGACATCTCATCTTCTGGAGTGAAGGCTTACGAGACCTGATGGACATCAAACTGTTTCTTGATGTAGACGCACATGAACGTGTCCTGCGCCGGATGATCCGTGACGTTGCCCAACGCGGGGGTGATCTGGAGTGGTGTATCAATTGGTATCGGCGCGATGTCCTCCCTAATTTTCCAGTCTATACCGAACCCTGCAAACAGTACGCTGACCTGATTATCCCGTTCCAAGATGAAAACCCAGTTGCATTGCACACACTCGTTGCCGGAATCCGTGCCCGGATCGCAGCGCGCAACTCAACGTCTTAAGACGGACTATAAACGTAAAAACGCATCTCATCCATTCTCTTATTTTCCAAAGCCATTTTGACATCCGCACAACGCCACAATGGCAAGGGTTGTGTCAATTTGGCGAACCTATTTGGCTGTCGGCTATCAGCTATCGGCTGTCAGAGAAAGTAAATTTTATCAGATGGAACCTTTCTCGGATGACTCACTGCTGACCGCTGGCGACCCGCCCCACCTTGTCGCACTCCGGTTAGGAAATCGCCCCTGTAGCAGATGAAAAGCACGTTGGCACGGAATTTGCTCCATAGACAAACAGGCAAACAGAGAGGCAACATCTTGGAATTGCCTCAGAAGAGATTGGCATAAAACTTGCAACCTATTTGGCATAGAACTTGCTTCTAATATTTACAGAAATAAAATTTAAAAGGAGAAAAGAAATGACTTACTTGACTTTACGCAGACCGACAGGAAACCCATTCAGGTTTTACAGCCCATTTTTCGCGCCACAGCACACAAGGACCGATGCGGACAGGCACAACTGGACACCCTCGGTAGATATTTCGGAAACAGACGACGGCTTTGAAGTCCGTGCTGAGCTACCCGGGATTGCAAAGGACGATGTCCATGTTTCTGTCAAAGATAACCTCTTGACGCTCAGTGGGGAAAAGCGACAGGAAAAGGCGGACGATACCCAAAACTACCGCCGAGTCGAACGACGTTATGGGAGTTTCCAACGGAGATTCACACTTCCAGCGGAAGTGGCGACAGATAGCATCAAAGCTAAATTCGGTGACGGTGTGCTGACGCCTCCTTCCGAGCCGGAAGCCGCGTTAAAAACCGACACCCGCGACACCCGATCACAACATGTATCCTAATACGTTTATTATCAGAACTATCTAAGATCTACGATCCATCGTATCGTGTGGATAGGCGGGGTTAGAGACTGCCGCCAGCGGTGAAGGAAGTTTGGTTCGTCGAACGACTGTCCACATATTTCCAGATTTTATAGTAAAGTCGAAAAATAACTCTCCTGCGAGGCAATTTCAGAGAGTGGCAGTTCCGTCCCACCCCCGCTGGCGAGGTTTGTAACCTCGCCCACAGTGTCTAAGTAATTGTAGGTTTTACTATACTATAAATAAAAAAGGCTGGCGCGGAATGTGCCAGCCTTCTCTTTTTGTTTGCGCTAAGTGTGCTACGCAGCTCTCTTTGTCCTTCAAAACACCGATGTAGAGGAGCGCTGCGAGGATTGCACTATCGAACGGTCCCACAAAATAGAGCCAGATGTCCGTATAGTTGCCAGCGATCAGCAGTCAGCGTGTGGCAGGCACCGCTCGCTTGAATGCTACACCGCTCTCTTTCTGAGTGCTGAAAGCCGATAGCCAATACGGTAGGTGCGGTTAGGAAACCGCACTGCACAACGGAGAAACGATCTCGGAACCTGCAGATATTCAGCCCCAGAGGGGCGGCATCTGTGTAGAACTCGGACGCTCCAACAAGAGAACCCCAGAGGGGTGACATCTCAACAGATTTTTTATTATCCGTCGGTTTCTGTGGGTCTCCATCGGGAATCGGAGTTCCCTCCTATAGGGCCTATCAGCCGTCAGCCGTCAGTAATCAGAAATCAGCCGTCAGCCAGTGGAGGGTATTAGAAATTGACAATTTCTGAGGGTGTGTTAAGTTAACGCCAATCTTTTTAGAGCCAATTTTGTGTGAAAAACTCAGCTGAAAGGGAGAAATTTTCATGGAAAAAGAGATTAGAAACGACATCAAAGGTATCAATCGGTTTATATTTGAAGCTGGAACGGATCGGGAACAACTCCACCTTCATATCTCTGAAGTCGGACCTGGGCAGCGAGCACATCCACCGCACACACACGACGGTCAAGAAATTTTTTACGTATTTTCCGGTGAAGGCGAAGTCCTGTTTGGTGATCAGGCCCATCATGTCAGTGACAACGAAGCCGTCCATGTCGATTGTCAAGTTTTACACGGTATACGCAATGTCGGTGAGACTCCCCTCCGCTACGCCGTGATTATTGCAAAATGAGTCTATCGCAATTAGGCGCGGTTATTAACCGCGCTTTGCACAATCCGTGTTCATTCTATTCCGAAGACTCTATCGGCAACCCCTCCGAGAGCAACTTATAAATCCCATAGACACCTACAGCGATCAGGACAATTCCGACAGTCGCTAAGCCGCGCCGCACCCAAATCGGTTGTAAGAAGACAGGTAAATTGACGATGAACCAACGGGGTTGTAAAAGTTTTGACATAGCGATGCCCAAATACAGTGCTCCATAAGCGATAAGACCGATGTCGCTCGCCAATTCCTGCTTTCGAGGCGTGACTGGCAGTTTGAACGGATTCAGGAGGTAATCGCCAGAGAAGATTAAGGCGATTCCTACAACCAGAAAGGTGGAGAGAATTGCAGATGAATACCCTGAACCCCGGAGTGTTATCAGCAAACCGATACTGAAACACCCCAATACGAGGCTCATCACTCCTTGCATAATTTGATAGTTTCTATTACGTGAGACCATATTTTAAATTTACTTTGCAGATAATTCACGAAGCAGAAGAGCCAAGCCGAATGCGCGGGTCAACCAGCGTGTAACTGATGTCGGTTAGTAATAAACCGACAATATACAGCACAGAACCGATATAAACCATACTTCGCACAATAGCGAAATCCTGTGCATGGATGGCTTCTATCGTAAAACCTCCAAGCCCCGGAATAGCGAAAAACGCTTCCATCACCAAACTTCCCATAAAGAGCAAGGGAATTACCAAGACCACATTCGTCAGAATCGGAATCATTGCGTTCTTCAGGATGTGTTTAAAGAGAACCACCCCTTCACTCAACCCTTTTGCCCGTGCTGTACGCACATAGTCCCGATTGACTTCTTCAAGAAATATTGTCCGGTAAAAACGGATACCGCTGCCGACACCCACCAATAATGCCGATAACCACTGGCAGAATAACGAACTTCAGCATGTCTACACCGGAATCATATCCAGAGATTGGAAAGAGTCGCAATATTTTTCCGAATACCCACTGCCCACCAATAATATAGAAAAGTGTTGAGACAGACATAAGGGTTACCGCAAGGATTGTTCCCCAGAAATCGACATAGGTCGCCCGGTAGTAAGCGACAATCATTGAAACGGTGATATTTACCAGAACGCCAACCAGAAAGGTCGGGAGTGCTATCGCGAGACTTGCCCACATTCGTTGAGAAATCTGTGCTGTGATGTCAATATTGTTGGCATCCGATGTCCCAAAATCGAAGAAAAAGAGTTTAACCGATTTCTGGAAGAAAATAGTCTGTGTAAAAGACGCGGTTCCAGATGTCTCTGAATTGAACCAGAGGGGTAGGTGATAGTCGTTCTGCTTCTTCCAATTGTCAACATCTTCTTGCCTAATATTCTTTTCACCAAGAATTCGTTGTGCCATCTGGTCAGGAGAACTGACCACAAAGAAAAGTAGAAATACAGTGATGTTCACGCCGATCAAGATTGGGATTGCGTAAAGGGTTCGGCGAACGATATAAGTGATCATTTAAAAAAATTGCCTCGTTGAAAATAAATGAGATTGGCAACCTCGCCAGCAAAGGGAACGTAGTTAGGAAGTTCCCCGTTCCCGTTTCCAAATTGTGATCACAGCCGGAATAGTGCCTAAAACGAGAAGAGCGATACATACCCATAGGGGCCAGACGACGGGTTGATTCCACGCCTGCCGGTTTTCCGTCCGCTGACCAGCATCAACGCGAAGATATTTAAGCGTTCCGCCGCCCAAGGAGCTCGGCTTGCTGTTCTTCACCCATTGATGCGACAAACCGAAAGCAACGGAGTGGTAGGCGAAGACCCACGGTGCATCTTGTTGCAGGAGGTGGTTCATTTCTCGAATTATTGCCAAGCGTTCCGGCGAGTTCTCCATATTTTTCATCTGTTCAAAGAGCTTGTTATATTCTGCCTTATCGTAATTGGCAGCATTTTCACCATCGTGCCGGATTTTACTATTTGGACCGTAGAGGAGGAACAAAAAATTTTCGGCGTCAGGGTAATCGGCGTTCCATCCCCAAAAGATAATTTGAAAGTTCCCGTTCTTCACTTTGTCGCGAAACCGGTTGTAGTCGGTCGTGCGATTCTCCATCGTGATGCCGAGTTGATCCAATTTATTCCGCATCCACGTTAAACGCGCCGTAGATCCTGCGGAGGTCCATGAGTTGTCAAAAGTGACGACGAGGGGATTTCCATTACTATCCTGTCCATCTGGGTAACCGGCTTCTGCAAGCAGCTGCCGCGCTTCTTCAATGGACTTGCGCACCGGACGTTGCTTCACAGCATCCCAATTGTAGACATAAGAATTCATGCCGATCTCACCTGCTTGATAGCCGAAGATACCGGGTGGAGTGGGACTATGTGAACTGACACCGCGTCCGTTGATAAAAATTTCGATAAACTCCTCATAATCTAAGACAATCGAAATTGCCTGCCGAAGTTTCTGTTTCTTTACTGAGTATCCACCGACAGTATCATCCAGCATATTAAAAGCGAGGTATCTTGTCGTTGGTTCGACACTGGTGCGCAGCACGATACCCTTCGCTTTCATTGCTTCACTTGTCCTCGGATCACCTGTATCATTGAACGCAACCGCACTGTCAAACGTATCCGAAGAGAGTCCGGAAGTATCATAATAGCCTTGTAAAAACTTATTCCAGCGAGGAATGTATTCCTTCTCTAATTTGTAGACGATTCTTGGAATAAAGGGAACAATTTCCCATGCGTCGTCTAAAAACCCAGCTTCTCTATCACCGGGTTCCCCACTTGACGGATAACGCGCCACCCGAAAACTCTCATTCTTGACGAGAACTATCTCTTTGTGGGCGAGGAGGGTTTCTATTCGATAAGCACCAGTTCCTACAGGAAACCTGTCAATCGTAATGTTCCGTTCTGCGACAGCAGGTTGACTGTAAAAATCAATTGCCTCTTTAGGCATCGGTGAGAAGAACGGCATCGCTAACCAATAGACAAACTGCGGATACTTCGTCTTGAGGATAACCCGATAGGTGTACCGATCCACGACCTTTACACCGGGAAAAGGTGCATCCTTTTGCCCCTTGGCAATAGCGGCTGAGTACACATCTATACCAAGGATATAATCCTTCAGGGTACTGAAAATAGGACAGGAGAGACTTGGATCTGCCATCCGCTTGATCTGATAGACATAATCCGCAGCGATGAGCTCACGCGTGCCTGTCATCGGGAAATCTTTGACCTCGTCAAAGCCCTTGACATCCGATTTCGTTAAGTTGCGGTAACGCCACTCTCCATCTTCAGTCTTCGCAAAGCAGGGATGTTGCTGATACATAATCCCTGGACGGATGCGGATTTCATAAACGGCACGCGCCACCGATTCCGCAGGCGCATTTGGCGATAACTGCTGTCCATCGGCATCTAAGTAGCGGGGTTGTGGAACCGCCTCTGCGGTCAACGGAATCAGTTCGTAGGGCCTTTTCAAGTAATGATATTGCAACGGAGGCTCATAAATCTGCTGAATGAACCTGTATTCGTCCGAACTATAGGAGATCGCTGGATCGAAGTGTTTCGGCTCTTCACTGAACGTGCTGTAGTAAATCTCCTGATCGTGTTCAGATTTCGGATATGGATTATTCGGTACACCACAACCAAAGAAAAAAAGAGCCAGCGTTAGGGCTACACAATATCGGCTTGAAAATTTCGATAATATGCTTTGCATCGTTCTTCCTTTTTGGACGTTTTCCAGCGAGCAAAGGTGTTTTGTGTATTTATGCACAAGCGGTCGCCAATGGCGGTTAGCCATCAGCAGTCAGCAGTCGGGATTCGGAAATCCCTCCTACAAGACGGGCTATCAGCGGTCAGAAAATGTCGCTATCCGGAGATCGTTCCTGCAGCGAAAAGTCCTTTCTATAGACTTATCACACCTGCAAGACAGAAGTTTAGAATGAATATAAAACTGTGAACGACACCAAGGGACCGAATTCAAAGGCATCACTATCCGCATAAAGTGTCTTTTGGCTTAAGGGCAACATCAATGCTACAGACACAGGGATGTTATAAGGGGTTACAATCGATGCCCCAACGGATGCCATGCTGAAAAGGAGTCCAGTATTAATGTCCAATTCTCCTGCCCAATAGGCATAGGACTGATAAAAGCCGAGGTAGCCTGCCTGTAACGAAAGCCAGTCATTAAAACGATAATTCAGACCGCCTGTGTAGGTAAGTTCCCGGGCGGCGCGATAGGTTTTGCTATTTTCATAAAATGGAAATTTTCCACGGATACTGGCGTTCGCGCCCAACCCTTTGTAGAGAGGAAGACTGTAATGCAGGTCTACGATCGGATTAAAGGTGCCGGTGCCGAACTGTATATGGAGATGCTCAAGTCCCGCGAACTCCCAGGGATCTTTTTCGGTCTTACCAAACGGAATTGTGGTTCCGACCCGTCCTGTTAAAAAATCGTCCTCCTTAAAGATCCCCTGAACATGGTGCGCTAATAGAACATCGGCATCGGCGAGTCCAGTATAGGCTTCGCTTCGATGATGGTTGTTTTGATTACGCAAAATCGCGTCCCGTTCGGTGGGTGTGACCGGATTAATCTCCTCGATAGTTGCCTCTTGGGCTTTGGTCTCGTACGGCACGTTCGCTTCCAATATCCACTGAGAACTGAGTTGATACTTCAAACCGACATCAACGCGAAAAATGTTCAGTTTAACATGGTGTCGATGAAGTGGCACGTCTATTACTGTTCCGTCTGGTGAGACACCTTTTCTTTCTTCGTGTCCACCTTGTGCATCGAACCACCGCATCATACTGACAGTGCTCTGAAATCTCTTCATTTCTCCTGAAGCCAAACTGACTTCACCGATCCCGCCTCGTGGAATCGCGGGATTGCTTCAGGCACCTCAGCTTTCTTGGGCAAAGCCGAGTGGGAGAAAGATGAATTGCAAGCAGAGTATTAGTAATAAAATTCGAGCCATCATAGGGGGTTTCCATCCGTTTCTAAGTTGAGCCACTCCATTTCAGCGTCGGACAGTTCAAGTCTCATTGAACCGAGTGAGGAATCCATCTCTGTTAAGGTCGCCGGTCCGACGATTGGAAAAACAGGAAATGAAGTATTCAAGCAGTATGCGAGAGAGACCTGAATTGCGGAATAGCCGTATTTTTCGCCTAATTTCTTTGCACGTGTGAGTCTTTCAAAATTGCCGTCATTGTAATAGACACGCACCATATCTCCGTTTTCGCGGTTCTCCGGTGTAAACGCGCCGCTGAAGAAACCTCGTGCCTGCGAGGACCAGGGCATCAACGGGAACTGACTCTCTTTGTGCCATTCGCGAGCGGCATCGTCTACACAGACACAACCACCCCACATCGGCTCCATCGGTACTGCGAGACTGATGTTGTTGCTACAGGAAACAAATCCTGCCAACCCATTCTCGGCGGCGTAGGTATTGGCATCGATAATGCGCTGGGGATGCCAATTAGAGGCGGCAGCTGCTCGGATGCGTCCTGCACCGATTTCGTCGTTCAGGTAATCAATAATCGTTTTAACGGGAATCACAGGGTCGTCGCGATGGAGCATGTAAAGGTCAATATAATCGGTGCGGAGTCGGATGAGGCTCTCATCGAGATCGCTTTTGAGTTCTTCGGGGGAGAGAGCGTGGACGCGGCTACTTTGCCTTGTGGATGTCCGCCCTTGTCAATGAGAAAGACTTCGTCTCGGTTACCGCGTTGCCGCATCCAGAGACCGATAAGCATTTCACTATCACCACCGCCATAACCGTGTGCTGTGTCAAGGGCATTTCCACCGGCTTCAAAGAATGCGTCGAGCATTTCGGTGCTATAGTCAAATTTTACAGGTGAAAACATCATGGTCCCCAGAATCAGATGCGAGATGTCTTTGCTGACTCCGGGAATTTTTATGTGCTTCATTACAAACGGTTTCCTTTTTTATATGGGCATACAAGTCGCGCCCTTTGTGATTACAGGATATAGGGAAATTATAGCAGATTTTCAAGTTAAAATCCAGTGGAAATGTATTAATCAAGGGAGGCTACAAGTCAGAAATCGGGAATCGGAGTTCCCTCCTACAAAGAAGTAATCAGCGGTCAGCCTACGACAGTTAGAAAATGTCGTGATCGGGAGATCCTGCCTACAAGAAAAGCGAGGAAAGAGGGTTGTATGGAAGAAGTTGGGAATCAGAGTTCCCGTCTATAAAGAGGCGGTTGGCAGTTGTCTGAATCAGGATTACAGGATTAAAGGGTTCACAGGATTGGACAACTTTTTAGCCCTGTAGCGGCGGTATCTGTGTAGAAAATCTGCGTGAATTTGGGCGGATGCACATGGAATGGGAACATCGCGAGCGAAGCTCGCTCCTACAGAAGAGTAGCAGTCAGCAATCGGGAGATCCCTCCTACCGAAGAGGGTTAATGCGCGGAACCTTGAGGGAAAAAGAAGAGGCGAGGTGTTTTTGATAGGGGTCTTTGCTTGGGTATTTCTGCGAATTTCCCCAAGGAAACCACGCCAGCGAAGAAAGAGAAACGTCGCGATCAGAAGAGGCGAGGTTGGAGAATCTCGTCAGCGGGGAATGTGG